GTAAAGAAGCAAAAGTGGGAGTTTTTCACCTTTCACGTTAAATATCCTTTTTATTTTAATTGCACTGTATATATAAGCCTCTGTGGAAAAATAAGAAAAAATAAGATAATCATTTTGCTTTTAAGGAAAAAGAAAAGTGGACTGCTGATGAGGGTAAAGACAATTGTCCTGTCTCTGAGGAAAAAATACAGTGATGGTTGTGCTATGGTGCTCTAAAAGATGTAGTCCATGGTGAAGTAAAGAATGAGGAAGAGGATTTTCACTATAAATACTCTTACTTATTTAAATCTTTCATTAAGGAAAACTATCCATAAAGTATGATATGGAGTATAACTTTTTGCACTTCTAAAACTAAACTTGTGGTACTGGTGCTCTTAGGCTGCTAATGTTGATGCTGCTATTAAGTTGAATGAATGCTACTTCTCTTTTTTGTAGTTTAATTAGCTCTCATGGTTACATTCAGTGAAAATTTTCCCTGCATTTTAGATGTTCCAGATTAGTTTCTTTAGTTTATTCAATCCATTATTTCTTGTAGAAAATTCAGGAATTCGTTGAGGCCTCACCAAAAGGGTTATAAGCCTCTAAATTCTAAGTAGCTTGTGGCTTACTAATTTAGGTGCAATGAATGTTATCAATTTTTTTTTTCTTAGAAAGTTAACATTTAAGTTCCTGTCCTACAACCCTTACTAAACAGGTCATGAATAGTTTTGGTTTAATTATTTTGTTTAAGTGGATGTGATTATCAAACTTTTTACTCACAATTCAAAGATAACTTAGTTTAATACTATTACTCTTGATTATTTTTATTGACGGTCCAACTTAGAAGAAATTGTCATACATAAACTTATTAGGCATCCCCATCCATAGATTATTTTTGAGATCATTTTGATGATGTGGATGATTTTTTTGGGATCATGGATGAGGAGTTGAGATTATTTTATAAGATTATTTGATAAAATAATCTGGTATCAAATTCTAAAGCTGGATTATTTTGAGATCATTAACAACTTTTAGGCTGCTCTTTCCATTTTCTAGACAACTAATAATAACTAGCTTTGTAAAAAAATCTAGGTAAAGTTAAGACCATGGATGAGGAGAAATTGATAGATTTGGAGATTATTTGAGATTATCTTATGTGGAAGTGACATGACAATAACAAACCATAAAAAATCGTAAACTTGAGTATCATGGATGGAGATGCTTTTAGACGGGGAAGTCTTGGTTATTTAAATGCTCTTCCCTCACTGTTTCCTCTCATCTCTCTTTGAATATTTGCAACTCATATGCTGATTGACTCCTAATATAATAAAAGTTTTCTATAGTTAATACGCAGTAATGATTTAGGTGGCTTGAATGTTTGATTGCTGAAAAATCCAATTATAAAAACTCATGTCCGGTTGAAATGATTTTGACCTAATAGAAAGATTTTTAGATTAAGACTTGAATGTTGTTGTTGAAGAAAGATTTAAAGGTGCAATTACTACAAAAAAACTCACCCTTTGTCACGGATTTTGTCATGGACCGTAGTTCAAAAAATCCGTGACAATTAATTTTTGTCACGGATTTGTCACGGATTTTTTCCGTGACACCAGGGGCGTGATAACGTTTTTGTCACGGAATTTAATCCGTGAGACCGTTTGTCACGGATTTATCACGGCCACCGTCCGTGACAAAACACTTCACCGGAACTCCATCGCCTTTTATTTGTCACGGCCACATCCGTGGCAATATAATATCTGATAATTATTCAATTTTTTATCGTATTATTGAAGGAGACTGATCCATGGGATGCTAATAAGATTGGAAATAATGCATCATATTAATTACATTAATTTCTACATGAGAAAAAAAAGATTCCAAAATAATGTTAATTAGAAAAATGTTTACCAAAATAAGGTTAGATTAAAAGTATTTTCCAAAATACTACTCACCTAAACTCCAGTTAAGAGAGCCGCCACTTGAAGTGGCAGCTTACGGTAAAAGACCTAACGCAAAGAAGCACGCCAAACAAGTAATCGTCTCAAGGAGAATTAGACGCATGCCAAACATCAGATAGGGCCCCACAAGTAAAAATCCCAATTTTTTGAATTGACACAACGTTTTTATTTGTACTTTGATTATTACACAAAATATATCAAAATTCATAACTTTTTATTACTCCATATGAATATAATTAACACTTTAAAAAAACTTTTTGTAAATGTTTTTTCTTTTTTATTTGTACTCGATTTGTTACAAAAAATATATTAAAATTCATAATGCTTTCGTATCTCTCATAAAACACTAATTTTGAATATATAAAATTTAAAATTAATTCTATTAAGTTGTGTAGTTTAGAATCGTTTTTAAAATGCACACATTTATTTGGAGTGATAACTTATAATAAAACCACACAACTCCATCACTTTTATTTATTGTTTTATTTCTTGTGTAGTTTTATTCTAATGTATTATTGCTGATTAATTGTGTGCACGGTAAAAAATGATCCTAAACCGCACAAATTAATAGAATTAACTTTTTAATTTTATATATTCAAAATTGTTGTCATATGAAAGATAATAAATAGCTATGAATTTTGATATATCTTTTGTTACAATCGTAGTACACATAAAAAAGATTTAACATTTAGGAAAAAAGATATTTTTTAAAGTGTTAATTTTTTTTTTATATATTTAATATTGGTGTCATATGAAAGATAATAAAAAGTTATACTATTATCTTGTATGCTTCTTCGTCTGTTTCCTGTTTTCGTGTAAACCGTCATTTCAAGTGGCGGTTCTTTAAACTAGCATTTATTGGAGTAGTATTTTGGGAAATAATTTTAACTTAACCTTATTTTGGTACATATTTTTTTAATTAGCATTATTTTGGGAAAAACTCTTGGAAAAATGTTAAAATAATCATGACTTTTGCTTATAAATTCTTTTTTTAATCTTAAATCTTGTACCCTCACTGAATGCTGATTCCATTTCTATGAATTAAGCCACCTTTGTTCAAAAAAAATATTACTCAAATGAGATTTATTTATAAAATATGATAAAATATTACTATAATATAATGTCATAGTCAGGGGCGGAGCCAGACTTTAGGGTAAGGGGGGGTCAGATTTTTTAAAATATAAATATATACTAATTTATCTATTTATTAATTTTGGGGAGGGGGGGGGGGGGGGGAATTTTAAGGTAAAATTAATGAAAAATAATTAAAGGGGGGGGGGGGGGGGGGGATGGCCCCCTTGGGTTACATGTAGCTCCGTCCCTGGTCATAGTCACTTAAGTATAAAATTGAAGATAAATTACTATAACTAAGTTATTACTATAGTCATTAATCACATTTTTGTAATGTACATTTATTTTAGTCATGCAATATTTCATGTTTTCTTAAGTAGTTGTATTAATAACATCAACAAAAAAACAAGTGATGTCCTTAAACGTCATTTAGCAAGTTATGATGTAATTGTAAACTACTCCGTATTATTTAACGAAATATTATTTTAGAAATTGTTAATAATATATGTAGTACTATTCATTAATTAAAACCATGGACTGAATATATGTAGTACTATTCATTAACCAATAGCCCTCCCCCTGCTCCTAACTAGGGGTGGGCAAAAATACTAGAAAATCTTTATACCGCACTTATCGTACCGAAAAATACCAGGAAATATCGGAATATTGGTATACCGTTATTTCCGGTACGATATCATACTGTACCGATTTATTTCGGTACGGTAACGGTAAATGTTTTCAAATATCACAGTATACCGGTATAATACGTACCGACTCCATACCCAACAATTACGTTAAATTCTAAAATATTGTAAAAGTCCATTGCAATTTTGAAGCTCAAAATTAATACTTATGTTGGTTACAAATAATAAATACAAAAACAAAGACCCTATTTCCCAAACTCACTATAACCTTCTAGGTTTCTACTACCTAACCTACAAACAAACTGAGCTTAATGACTAATGAATAATATACTAATGTCCAAACCAATCTATCTTGTTCCATAAGCTTGCGAGTCGCGATGGCTGAGCGGTTGAGCCGCTGAGTAGATAACGTGTGAAGAGGGATACACTTATGTGATGAGTGTATCTACATATGGATATATTCCAGGACTCGAGGCACATAACTATGTCCGAAAGTCTTATTCAAATATTCTATAAAAAAAATTATAAAAATGACTAGATACACAATATCATGTAGTCCTAACATCTTTCTTAAAATCAAAACAGAAATTTCGAGGGAGTATTATTTCGTAAACTCTTCTTGATTCATGTCCGCAAAACAAAATGGCGAAATTGAAACTAATAATATCTACATTTAGGCATTTTACAAAAAAAAACTCTACTGAAAAAGTTCACAACAATAATCCCAATTAGATAATTGTTTCACAAAAATAAACCAGAAGTTAACTGTGTTAACTTTTCCGTTTTTTAAATTTAAAATAAAGTGAAGCAAATATATATAAAAACATTAATAATTTTATGTTTTTGTTTAGTCTTATTTCTACTATAAATTTAATTTAATAATAACTATTTTTTGTAAAATATAATAAAAACGTTTGAACATATTCATTTTAGTAATATTTAATATAGAATTACTAAAATTAATTTTAAATCTCTATTACAATGAAATAAAAATGAATATAAATAAAATATTGATTAGAACTAAAAGAAAAACGAGAATTTGATGAGTATGTTTTTAAATATTTCTATTACATTTTATGAAAAATAATGACTATTAAATTTAATTCATAATAAAAGTAAATATAAGGACAAATATACGAAGTATATAATATTGTTGATGCTTGTACATATTTTTGCTTCATTATATTTAAAATGCAAAAAAAAAACTAACAGAAAAGTTAACCTCCTTAACCCCGGTTTATTTATGTAAAGAGTTAAATAGTTCGTATTATTGTTGTAAACCTTTCCACCAGCTATTATTTTTATAAAATGCACAAAAGCATCTACGGAGTATTATTTATGTCAATTTGGCCAAACAAAATTAATAGTAACCCAGCCGCTAAAAGTGGACCTTCCCTCGCTCAATTCAATGGTGATGGATGAAGTTAGTTTCTCTTCTTTGGATGAAGGGAAGTCTCCCCTTTTCCTTTTCATGCCTTTCTTTCAGTTTCTTTTTTATTTTATCAAAATTCCAGTGAAACTAACTCCATTGTTAAAGAACATTTCAAGCAAGAGAAATGAATTCGAAAAACCCAGACTCAATTTTTGGAGTTTTGGGCTGAGATTCGAGGATGGAATAATGAAATTGATTTCAAGTACATATAGTCTTGTGAGATTACGGTTCGAAAGAATTCAGAGATATATATGAGAAAGGTGAAATAGGAGGAGAGATGTGGGGCTCAACGCCAACAATGAATCTTCCGGTAGGGAAAGAGAGAAATAAGTTGGTAGCTGTGGCCATTGACAAAGATAGAGGAAGCCAGATGGCTCTGAAATGGGCTCTTGACAATATCGTTGCAAAAAACCAGACCATACTTTTACTTCATGTGAATCTTACCCAAAGTAATAATCTCTATCTCACAATGTGCATGTGCTAATTATTTCCCAATCAATTATAGCATGATTGGTTTAGGATAATAGTAATTTGACAAATTCACGAGTTGTCAAAAATCAACATGTATAAATTTCATTACGAAATAATTTTCAAAACCAATTCTCTAATGCTTAAACCATTGTTTGCTAAGGCCAATTTTCACATTTGTTTTTATAACTGTTGATGCCAAGGTTGCAGTTTTTGCATTTATATAGTAATTAGTTTTAGCCTTGTAGGATTTTGTTTATACTGATAATGTATATAACTATGCTATTGATGCAGGATCAAATCAGGATTCTGATATTTGTGATGAGAATGGATTGACACTTCGAGAAATGGATCCACAATCAAAAGAACTATTTCTCCCTTTCCGTGTCTATTGTACACGCAAAGATGTTAGTTCTTTTACATTCATCTGCTTTACTTTAAATCTGTGATGAATAATGAAAGTTAAAGCATATAAGAACAATTTAGTAACTATAATTATTTACAGGTACGATGCCACGAAGTCTTGTTAGAAGATCTAGACCCTGCTAGAGCAATTATTGAATATACTAATCGAGTTGGGGTCGAGATATTAATTCTCGGTGCTGCTGCTAAAGGTGGTCTTCTAAGGTATAGTGACATGATTTTCTGGATGTTAAAATGGGTATTGCCTTAAACTCTCATATCTGGATGTTATGAGGTCTTCTAACGTATACAATTTGGATAGTGACATGATTTTCTGGATGTTAAACTGGGTATTGCCTTAAACTCTCATATCTGGATGTTATGAGTTTCTGTTTGATATTGGTGCATATGTAACTTGAATTGTTTCTATTGTTTGTCAAATGAACTATCAAGTCACTCTAACTTTGGCCTCTCTCTTTAACACTTTTTGTGCTTTGATTGTTAAAGTTTTCCACTTTTGGTCCCTCAAATCATGAAATTAAAATTAGTTGTCAAAGGATAGAAATGCTCTTAAAACGCATAACCTGAATCTAATGTGAGATTTTCCTGATGTTTGGATGGATAAATGACAAAAAGGACCAAACATCAAATAAGTCTAATAGCCTTTCACCAAAACTAGGAAAACTAAAAGTTGGTGACTGAAATGGGAAGTGACTTTATTTTCATGGGAGTTGGGACCAAAGTGGAAATAATCCTATGCAACTTGGTATGTGAGTATCATCTTCGAGTCAATAATCATAATCTTACCAAAAGTACCTAGTTAGCAAATAGATTTAATTTGAATTGTATGCAGAAACAGGTTTAAAAGTATTCTAATTTAAGTTTCATTCATTGCCATGAAGATTTAAAATGAAAGATATCCCTGGAAATGTGCTAAAAGGGGTACCTGATTTCTGTACTGTGTATGTCATCTCCAAAAATGGAAAGATATCATCTACCCGGTCTGCTTCTCGTTCAGTGCCATTCACCCATCCACTACGTCACCAATTGGCTACCACAAAACCAAATGCAGCAGAGACACTGTTTCCATCAAAGAGTTAGTCTTTATTGATTCATCGTTATTATTCCAGCCTAGCGTATGTTTATTCTGAATTAGTTCCTGACTTCCTGCAGCTGTTGAATTTTCTGGAGATTCAAGCTTTACATCTGAGTTATCTTCTGCCAGCTCACAGAATGATATAAAGTAAGTCACAGTTTTGGATTAAGAGCTTGTATGGTAAGGCTTAAAATGGATTAAGTTCATTGATTCTGCAGAAGTTGCTAGAGTGCTGCCTAAAATTGCTCAATTATTAAAATACTTGTTGACATTATTTTAAGTAAATTAAATTGAATTAAATAAATCTAAAAGAAAGGTAAATGTGTCAATTTCAGCCACTGTTGCCAAAAATGTAACTACTGTACTTATGTCTTTTCATTATCAGTGAAATAGATTAGTGTTTGCTAAAAAGGACGCTTACCAAATGGGCTGTAAGTTTGGAATAAATGCTTGAGAAGGGGTTTATTTGAACATAGGTTTTCTATTCTACGACCTGATTGGAATTCAATATTTGCAACAGGTCTCCATTCACTCGCAGGAGAGCAGCAAATGGGAAGCCATATGAACACTCAAGGCCAACTAGTGACATATCTTTTGTGAGTTCTGGTAGAGCAAGTATTGATAGTTGTTTCCCTTCGTACAATGACAGCTTTGAGGATGGTCCAACCCCACCCCGGCTTTCGGGCTTCTCAGAATTTGAAAATAGCAGTTTTGAATCCTCCAACTTTGGCCGGAGATCAATTGACTTGTCATCACCTTCTGAGTTATCTTTTGTGTCAATGGACAGTGATAGAATGTCTATGTCAGGAATGGTAATGCACCAGGCCTCCTCTTATGACTGATATCCCAATCCATTCCACTTTAGAATTCAAGTGTTCAAAACAATCTGTCTCTTCCCTAGGTTTATGAATTTCATTCATTTAAAGTTCTACACACACACACACACTTTTTTTAGCTAGTTTTGTATAAGCATTGTTGATGTCATGCATTTACATGCTACAGGGTAGATTTGTTTTGGTTTTTTGGATATGTGATTTACATTACTCCCCCAGCCCCTAAAAAATAAATTTTGTTTCAAACACTTTTTTTGTCCCAAAATAAGAGTTCGGCCTGATGAAGTGAAGCTAATCCTTTGGACTTGATCTCTCTGTCTGAAAAATGAAATCTGATATCAATGTTTCTAATCTTGCGCTACTTTATTGTCTTAAATATAACATATTTTTTAGTCTCATCTCAATCTTTGCAGCCGGATGTGAATGTTTTGATTTGGTCTGATCTGAACAGAACAACACCTTCATGTAATTTGTCAAAAAATTGTCAAGAATGAATGACATACAAGTTACCTATCATATATGTAGTATTTCGTTAAACCAACAAGTAATTTTTTTAAATATACATGAAAGTTATGCGTTATCAAAATACAAAGTTCTAAATTGGTTGGACAAGACTCCTCTTTTCTGATGATAGTACTCGTAGTAACTATTATAAAATGTATTGATTTTTGTTCCAAAGATTCTATAAATGGTTTCAAAATGGGAATTATGTTCTCAGAGACAATGAAACAAGAAATTCAATTTCAATATTTTTTGACATCCTGTATTTTCTTTGAGAAACTGAAAGCAGAAGCACGGCTGCGAAGCATAATACTTTGCTTCTTTTTACCTAAAAGTGAAAACAAAAGCATTACCAAGGGATAAATTACTAATTTCAATAGATTCTGACATTTTATTTCTGATTTAACCCAGGATGATGTTGAAGCAGAAATGAGAAGGCTGAAACAAGAGCTTAAGCAAACAATGGAAATGTATAGTACGGCATGTAAGGAAGCACTGAGTGCAAGACAGAAGGCATGTTCAAATCCCTGTTTTCCTTTACACCCATTGTAATCATTGTATGCACATTCTAACGTATCCCCCCTCTTTTGCAGGCAATGGAGCTCCAACGCTGGAAAATGGATGAACAAAAAAGATTAGAAGAGGCACGATTAGCTGAGGAAGCTGCATTGGCTCTTGCAGAAATAGAGAAGGCCAAGTCAAAGGTGGCCATAGAACGTGCTGAAGCGGTTCAGAGGTTAGCTGAATTAGAAGCTCATAAGAGAATTAGTGCAGAAATGAAAGCACTGAGCGAAGGAGATGAGAGCAACTCGATGATGGGTCAAATTTCACATTCACGTTGCAGATACAGGCGGTACACAATCGAGGAGATTGAAGCAGCGACTGACTGCTTCTCAAAATCTCTCATAATTGGAGAAGGTGGGTATGGGCCAGTATATAAATGCTATATTGACCACACATCTGTTGCAGTTAAGGCCCTTCGCTCTGAAGCAGCTCATGGAAGACAGCAGTTTCAGCAAGAGGCAAGAAAGCTGAACTATCTAATGCCCACTTTCATTTACATTTCCAATTATCCTCAATAAAGAATTGCAATTTTCCAACTACAAATGGTTAAAACAGATATGCAATTCCGAACGTGAGACCACATGGTATAAACTTACATGTAAGAGTAAAAATCATAATTGGATTTAGAAAATTGAAATGTCAGGCCATATAGTATAAACATACAGGTAGAATTAGGATTGAAATGGGGGCATTTAGTTGGCCAAACCATAATAAATATTTAATCCAATCTTTTAGCTAGTTCAAATGTTCAACTCAATCTTATTAACTTATCATTCTGTTTTTAATATGTGTAATTTTAAAACTTTCACCTCAAATAGACAACCTGACCATTTTAAATCTAACCGTGTGGTCACTTGTTGGACTACCTTCTTCCTTTAAACTGAAACTCGAAATACAACAACTTAATATTTTTGATCTGATAAAAAATATTCTTATTTGATCTAAATTGATTGCTTTTGGTTTTATTAGTTTATCTGGTCTGGTATGAATGCTCTTCGTTTGATTTAAATCTTTCTTCTTTGAACTGAATATTTCTTATCTGAATTGATTGCTTCTAATATGATCTGAACATTCTAATCTTATTCTATTGATATTAAAAGTCTTTTTATTAACTTTTATTATTAATTGATTGTTATTATTATTATTATTATTATTATTATTATTATTGTTTCCGCTATCACTACTCTTATCGCTGTTGTCATTATTATAACTTAATATTGTTTTTAGTGGTTGTTATTATCGTAATTAATTAACGTGATAATAATCATTGTAATACTAATAATAATAGTAGTAACAACAACAAGAACAAGAATGGTACTAAATTTATCAAAACACAATGTACATTTGTGAAGCAAAATAAGTTTTTATTTTATTTAAATAAATGAGCAAAACATAAATTAACCAAATAATAAATATATATAATAATGAAAGAGATAAATTAACCAAATAATAAACGAAAAGCATTCAGTTTAGTGAGCCATTTTGCTTTATTCCATCATAATCTCAAGCCAAAAAATAATGAAAGAGATATATTGATTAAAAATAATAATGATGATGATGAAAATAATAATAATAATAATAATGGAAACAATTATTTTAATATTACTCCCTCCGTATTTTAATGTTCACTTCATTAGGTTGGATACATTATTTAAGGAGTAAAGTAGTAGGGGTAGTGAATAGTGTAGAAAAAGTAGGAGAGAGTGTGTAAAAGTATGAAAGATAAGATAAAAAATAGATAAAGTAAGAGTAATTAAGTATTTTATAAAGGGTAAACTTACCAAAAATGGAAGTGTAGGGAACTTTTAAATACTGCTCAAAAAGGAAAGTGTAGGGAACTTATAAATACGTAGGGAATAATAAATAGTAAATAACATTAATAATATTAGTAATAATAATATAATATGAGTTGAACCTTTCTTATATGGTCCGTTTTTATCGGAGTCTTTCTACACTTTGTTTTCTGTTCTTATTTGACTTGATTAAAATAAGAATAAATAAGTAAGATTAAGTCGAATAGAATATTGTTTCCTTTGTGACTTTTTTTGGGATCCCAAATACACTGTGTCTGTGCTTATTGCTTACTTTTCAGGTTGAAGTGCTGAGCTGCATAAGGCATCCTAATATGGTTCTTCTTCTAGGAGCATGTCCTGAATACGGTTGTTTGGTATACGAATACATGTCAAATGGAAGCTTAGAGGACCGCCTATTTCAAACCGGAGGAACCCCACCACTTTCGTGGCAACTGAGATTTCGAATCGCAGCCGAAATTGGAACCGGGCTTTTGTTTCTGCACCAGACCAAACCAGAACCGATAGTCCACCGCGATCTAAAGCCAGGCAACATACTGCTAGACCGCAATTTCGTGAGCAAGATCAGTGATGTTGGCTTGGCTAGATTGGTCCCTCCTTCCGTGGCTGACACAGTTACCCAGTACCGAATGACATCCACTGCTGGAACTTTCTGTTACATTGACCCGGAGTATCAGCAAACCGGCATGCTTGGAATAAAGTCCGATGTGTATTCCCTGGGGATCATATTTCTGCAGATACTAACAGCAAAACCCCCAATGGGTTTGACTCACCTGGTTGAAAGGGCGATTGAGATGGGCACCTTTACTGAAATGCTTGATTCTGCTGTGCCCGATTGGCCTGTTGAGGAGGCTTTGAGACTTGCCAAGTTATCTTTAAAATGTGCTGAGCTTAGAAGGAAAGATAGGCCAGATCTGGGGCAGGTAGTGATGCCTGAACTTGAGAGATTGAGGGAACTTGCTGATGAAAGCATCCCTCCATCCTCCTTTTATTATCCTGGTCGTTCACCAAACCATAGCCAAGTTTCTATGTCTCAAGTAAGTCAATTTACAATTTCAGGTGTACACATATTTTAATAGTATCTTTTGTTTAGCCTGGATTAAATACCTATTTAAACCATAATCTTGTATATGTCTGCAGTTGTTCAAAGCTTCAAAAAGCTATGGTTAAAGTTCGCAATAACTCAGCTTGTTTGAGTGTAAAATACAACCCCCAATTCACTCCACATAATTTTTCTTAATTTAGGATGTTAATGATGCTACGTTTTATTATCGTTATCATTGGAAATGATAGGTTGTGTTTGTTCAGTATAAACTTTTTTGTGATTGTTCGTGAGAAGTTCTGATTGTTCTATCAAGGTGGTTTAGGTGGGCATGACTATATAGTATCCACGTGTTTTCACGGTATAACTAATGCTTCTCTTTTCCCAGGAAAATCTGAGCTGCCCTACGACTGGTAATTCTGGATATGATAGCTATAGGAGTTCATCAAGCAGTGGGTTGTAGTAGGTTGTAAGCAAAGCCAAAAAGCAGTTTTAATTCGAAATTGTGAATGATTGTATCATTATTTCATTGGATTTGAACTCATTTATCCTATTAATCTATTATGTTTAGTTTTAGAGGTATAATTAAGCATCATCTTTCATCCATATATAGAAGGTGCTTAGGTTCGAAATGTAAATACTTTAAAGTGATGTTTATTTAGTCAGTGTTGGGGCTTGGGATCACAAACCTAGCAATCAACCCATCCCATAACCACCAAGCGGTCCAGTCAACCACAGGACCTGTGCTGGTCCTGTTGATCGATCAAACCGGTTCAAGGCTTACATGACAACTGGCCTGAACCACATGGTAGCATTGAAGAAGCAGACCAAATAGACTGGCATGTGGCTTGACTTATTAGTTGGGGTTTTGTTAAATTGAACTATGATCAAAGAAAGTAGGGTTCTGTTCAATATATGTAGCCTTGGCTATTAGTTTATCTTCAAGGAAATTATTGATTTTAGTTTGGCTCAGTTCATGTTTCGAACAACTTGTTACTACACAACTTTAGGTCTTAATCACCTTTTGCACGGATTAAACAATTAATTTGTCATATTTAATCAATTAATTTGTGGTTTCTATTATTTCTCTCTCATCTCCAAAAATCTGAACTACACAATTCACTTTATTATTTTCCGTGCTGGTCAACCCTGACAAAGTTTTAAGGGGAGGGAGTACATAATTGTGCAAAAACATGTGTAAATGTGTCATTATGCCAATTCAGAAAAATTCTTAATTCCTAAGGTATGAAGTTAGAAAGTTTTCACTTGGACGAAAATTTTCTGGTATGGTTTGATCTGGTTTGATGTGAACTGATCTAGTCTCGTAGATGTCTGCTCTGTGGGTATTTTATAACTGTCGAAGTCTGGTTGAGTTTGTTCAAGTTCAGTTTGGTCTGAACTTGTTTGATCAGGTCTGATTTAGTCTAGTTTGATCTGGTTTAAGACTGAAATATTTCAACTAATAACATGCGTCATGAGCATCATGCTCCTGCCTCCAAAACGACGCTGTCTCAACTCTCAAAGCTTTACACATTTTTTTTTTTAAATTCCACCCATGAACGGTACACGCGTGTGCAATAATTATTTTTCTTTCTTTTTATCTCAGAAGCATGAATGATGTTATTCACGTGTAGAGAAATTTCACTTTATTGATCAATATAACTCAAGTTCATTCGAAATGTATCTTGTCAAATACACAATATAAGAAATAAAATATTGATTTCAATGTAAACAATGAAAAAAAGAGTCTAATTGCAAAATTGCTTTAGGTAAATCATGAATATGTTTTGCTTTTAGTATCATGACCATAAAAAATGATTTTTTTACAAAATCATTTTTTTGTGTCAATAGCAGGGGTTGATTTTTTTATGTAACTCATGTTATTATAAATGTAACTCGTGTTTCCAGTAATGTAACTTACATTGATAAGAAATGGAATCTATGTCAAGTTAAAATGTAAGTTATCTAACATAGAATATAAGAATTAAAACATTGATTTCAATGTAAATAATGAAAAATAGGAGTTTTATCCCTCTGAATGTAGTGTATGATTATGAAATACAATATACTTATTCTATGTGGGTTAATAAATTTTTTGTAATAAATTAGTAAAGAAAGAAGTTAATTCAGTTGTAATTTAATTACTTAAAGATAATGATAAGTAAAATAAAGGAATATTTTTGTCCAAAAAAAGTAAAATATAACAAATAACTAGATGTAACTCACGTATAATTAGATGTAACTCGTGCATAATTAGTTGTAACTCACGCATAAGTAGATGTAACTCACGTATAATAAGATGTAACTCGTACATAAGATGTAACTTCAAATGTAACTCCAAGAATCAAAATAAACAAATTCAATGTCTTCAAAATCCTTAAAAACATATAAAAAGACCAGATTAAAAAATTGTAGAAAAAGTGTGCATATAAAAATATGTTACAAAAAAGTGTATGAATATAAAAAATACATTACAAAAAATGTATGAATGTTATATATTTGACAGAAATAAAAGTAATGTATGAATATAAATGCAATATACTTATTTTATTTAGATTTATAAACTTTTTGTTATGTATTGATAGAGAATAAAAGATAGATTCAATTATTATGTGGATTAATAAAATATACTTTTTTATGGGGATTAATAAAATACAAAATGTATTACAATATACTTATTTTATGTGGATCAGTAAAATTTTGTAATAATTTGGTAAAGAAAAAAATGGAAATCATTTATACTTTAATTAGTTAAAGATAAAGATAACTAAAATCACAAATAAATTTTTAGTATTTTGATGTAAAAGAGAAGAATTGAAGAAAATAGAAAAGAAAAATAAAGAGAAAGAAAGTACTAATCTGGAGGGAAAAGGAAGAAGGCTTCCGTAATTCTATTGAACATTTAGACTGTTGGAAGCATGGGTATGCCGGTTGCACGGTATAATTTGCCCTAATTTTCTGTTTGATCTGTTGAATTGATATGATTAGTCTCATCTAAACTTATTTGGTTAGGCACGATCTAAAATTATTTTATTTGGATTACTTTGATTAGTTTGATCTAATTAATTTAAGCCTGAACTAGTTAGATCACATTTGATATTATCAGGATTTGGTATAAATATGCTTTTTAATATGTGTGTAATATATTATTTGTATCATAGTTATTAAAATATCAAACTGGCGACTTCTTTTAATTTATAATTTGAATTTAAATTGATACCAATATATTTACATATTTATGATTAAAATATGTATTGTTTATAAAATTGTAATTAATGACTATAGTAGTAACTTGATCATAGTAACTCATGTTCAATTTTCAAATTTAAGTGATCATAACGTTGCAGTAATATTTTTGGAAAAACTCTTATACTCCCTCCGTCCCTTATAACTTTGCCAACTTTCCTTGTTTGGATGTCCCACTAACTTTGTCACTTTCCCTTTTACGTAAAGAATTTGTGGTTGCAGTTAATTCTCTTTCCTCTGCACAAACATCAACCACACACTTTTTACTTTATTAATTTCCGTGTCAGTCAAACTTAATAAAGTTTTAAGTGACGGAGGGGGTACATATTAATGATTACATAGAAGTCTTCTTAATTTACAAAATGCAATTAAATCATAACTATTTATTTTAATTGATGAGCCGTCGTGTTTCAAAACTCACCTAGAATAAAAGCTACTTAGGTTTAAAACTCTATTGAAACTGGTTTGCTTTCTTGATGAGATTGCACAATTAAGGGCTTATAAGTCTCTTGAGGTTATTTTATTTTTGAAAAAAATCATGTATCCTTTCCATAACCAATCTTATTCAGTTATTTCTTATTCTATCACATTCCTCCATCAATACATCATCTCTCCAAGACATCAAAACTTCACTTCATCTCCATCTCAAATCTAATTATATCTAATTTGTGTTCCGTTATTCAAATGTCAAGGACTCTAGCATGTATTCACGTGAACATTAATTCTCATTCTAATGTGATAGTAGGCTTACTTTATGTTTTGTTTTCTAATGTTTTAACGTTTAGAAATTAGTTCAAATAAGACTAAAACTACGGCAAAAAACTAAAATAGGACTTGCTATGTTTTTATTCCAAAATAGGACCATATGAGTCCTATTGGAAACATACCTATTTTTGCATTCCATTCTTACCCTTCCATTAAATATGAATTAAAAATAGTCAAAAGCCATAATTAAATGTTTAATTCATAATAAATTCGAAAAAAATTCAAAAATTCGTAGAAATATAATTAAAAAATTTATAAATTTTTTATAAAATAAAAAATTCAAAAACTTTTTTTTTAAAATAATTTTATTTAAAAAAAATAGTAAAACTCCGTAAAAAAAATTTAAAAAAATATGGATGCCTTTCCCACCGCCTATACTACCTCCCAGCACCACCACCTCCGGCCGATGAAAAAAATGGCATTTTCCCAGAAAAATGCCATTTTTTTATGAAAATGCCAAAAAAGTGGCATATTTCTCTTTTCGAATGCCAACATTTTCATTTTTTTCTGCCATAAATATGGCATTTGTAATGAACTTGGCATTTTTTTCCCCTGGTGACTGGAGATGGTGGTGCTGAGGCGGCTGAGTGGCGATTTTTTTTTTGAGTTTTTATTTTTTTTATTTTATTTTTTAATTTTTTGTAAAAAAAATTAATTAAATTTTTAATATCGAAATGTTTTTCTTAATTTTTTAGTATTTTTTACGATTTTTTATGATTTTTTATTATTTTATTAGGAATTAAAACATTTTAAGAATTATAAGGGTATAATTGTCCAAGGTACACATGATTAGTCCTATGAAAACATAGTTTATTTTTTGGTCCTATTTTTGAAAAGTGAATTGACTTTTAGTCCTATTTTGATAATTAACTCTTTAACGTTTTTATTTTTCGCTATCATATAAATTTAACAATTTTGTATTTATGCGAAGTTCTTGCAATTGTAGTATGCAACATGTTGTACTGTTTTTTACCATTTAAAACATCTTCCGTATATATTATGCATCTTATGACTTCATGAATTTCATACGCTTGTCAGTTGGGGATGTAACGTAGATGCCATAATGATAAGATGTAGCATATGAATTTCTAAAGTGCACATGTCATCTTACAAAAATGCACTATATAAACATCTAAAATACAGCATATGAACTACTAAAATTCAACACCAACATATATGATCAATATAAAGTTCTAATATAACTTATGTAAACGCTATCAATACATAATGCTCATCCCTTAACATTAATATGCAGTTCGCATGTGAAGTAATCCCAAAGCTTTACAACTTACCATTTATAAGTTTGGAAAATGAGGTTAATTTTGAAGTGGTCATTATTCTAAAACTCGCTAGGCGTCAGTCGGGTGATTGAGGGGCGTCTAACATCTAGGCGCCGTCTAGGCGGGTAATTAGGCTTTTTTGGACGGCTAGACCGATTAGTCCTCTACAGTTAGGGCCGTCTAGCGCATAGGCGTCGATTAATCGGTCCGACTAGGCCGATTTTTAGAATAGTGAAAGTGATTACCTACGAAAGAAAATGATTTATTTAATAAATACGGAGTATAACATTGATAATTAATTAAAAATGGGTCAGGTATTAGATATTTTATGAAACTATCCTTGACAAAAACGGTTATACATAACTGTTGATCTTACATCAACGAACGTACGGGATGATTTGCATTCAAATAATCTTATAATAAAAACTAATTTGCGAACCTTTTTGTAGTTACATAGCTTATATAAGTAAGGTATGAGTATAATTTCATTGTAACAAAACTCGAATAATAATACATCAAACTAAATTAGTTCAAACATGAAGCTAAGGAATCATATATACTCAACAAGACTATAGGCCATGTTTGGTAACGCTAGCGACACCGGCGTTTATCATTGGCCTGTCGATATTATTATTATTATTATTATTATTATTATTATTATTATTATTATTATTAAATACCTATGTAATCCACTAATCCTTTCTTTGGATAGAACACTTTTTTTTCTAATTCTTTTTACATGTATTTTAAAAGAAAAATAGGACACATACAATAATGTCTTATGTCTTTACGTGTCATTTTATATCATACAATTATTCTTATCTGGCAAAACTTTGAGACAATTATTTACAAATAACCGACATAACTAATCATTCAAAACAGCTAATCTAATTGGCTCTTATCAAACCAGTAATGTAACCAGCTAATAGCTAATAGGCACTACAAAAAAATTCGCCTGTAGTCACGGACCGTAGTCACGGATTTGGTCCGTGACTAGTTAGTCACGGATTAGGTCCGTGACTAGTTAGTCACGGTTCTAATCACGGTGTAGTCACGGAATCGTTAAAAAAAAGTAGTCACGGATTTGTCCGTGACTACGTCCGTGACTAGAGGTAGTGACGGACCTAGTCCGTGACTAAAGTGTTCCGGCCAACCCATTTTCGCTTCCGGCGGGATTTTTTTTAAATTTGAAATTAGTCACGGACAAATCCGTGACTAGTACCGTGACAAGTGCAAAATTGATTTTTTCAACGCTCCAAATTTAAAGTGCACCGACAATTCGTACAAAAACAAGTAGTCACGGACACATCCGTGACTACAAAATTTATATATGCAGCCTCGGCTTCCTTCAACAAAATCACACCTTCTACGTACTCCAAATAGAATCCAGATAGAATTGAAGGATGTAATCTACCCATCTCATATCATTTTTCCTGTTTTTGCAGATAAGGTATGTAATTTGAATTACGTATTTTTTGTAAATTAGTTAAATATGTAAATTTGTTAATAAATACATATGTAAGTATATATATTATTAAATATAATATTGGCAATACATATGTTATTAATTTTAAAATATAGGATTAAAATTACGTAAATTAGTTAAATACGTATGTAAGTATATATGATTAAATATAATTTAAATGCATATTATTAATATTAGTTAATAAATGTAAGTATTATTTAATTCAAATGACTTTATATATATATGTGTGTGTGTGTGTGTGTGTGTGTGTATGTATGTATATGATTAAATATAAGTATATGATTTCTTTATATTGGCAATTATTGTTAATTAAGGCGGCCTAATTTAGGATTAATAATGATTTAAATTAGGGTTAGTTAATTTAATTTAAATGTGTTTATTATATATATATGCTCAAATTATTGAATTTGCTCATATTATTTAATTTAGTACGTAAATTGTTAAATGTGCATTATTAATAAGATTAAGATGTTGATAATTTTAGTATTGTGGATTAAATTAATGTCATTAACGTATTGTGCATGTTTATAGTTTAATAATATTAATTATTAGACGTTAGTTAATTTTAATGGGATTTTAGTGAATTTTAGTGAATTTTAGTGAAATTTTAGGCAATTAGTTAATTTTAAGGGAACTTTTGGGAATTAGTTAATTTTAAGTGAATTTTAGTGAAATTTAAGGAAACTAGTTAATTTTAAGGGAGTTAGTTAATTTTAGGGAATTAGTTAATTTTAAGGGAATTTTAGGGAATTAGTTAATTTTAAGGAAATTTTAGTGAAATTTAGTGAAATTTAAGGGAATTAGTTAAGTTTAGGGAATTAGTTAATTTTAAGGGAATTTTAGTGAATTTTAGTGAAATTTAAGGAAACTAGTTAATTTTAAGGGAATTAGTTAATTTTAACGGAATTATTTAATTTTAAGGGAATTTTAGGGAATTAGTTAATTTTAAGGGAATTTTAGTGAAATTTAGTGAAATTTACGGGAATTAGTTAATTTTAAGGGAATTTTAGTGAATTTTAGTGAAATTTAAGGAAACTAGTTAATTTTAAGGGAATTAGTTAATTTTAAGGGAATTATTTAATTTTAAGGGAATTTTAGGGAATTAGTTAATTTTAAGGGAATTTTAGTGAATTTTAGTGAAATTTAAGGAAACTAGTTAATTTTAAGGGAATTAGTTAATTTTAAGGGAATTATTTAATTTTAAGGGAATTTTAGGGAATTAGTTAATTTTAAGGGAATTTTATTGAAATTTAGTGAAATTTACGGGAATTAGTTAATTTTAAGGGAATTTTAGGGAATTATATAATTTTAAGGGAATTTTAGTGAATTTTAGTGAAATTTAAGGAAACTAGTTAATTTTAAGGGAATTAGTTAATTTTAAGGGAATTATTTAATTTTAAGGGAATTTTAGTGAATTTTAGTGAATTTTAGTGACTACAGGCGAATTTTTTTGTAGTGAGGAGTAATATCTAAGAGCTGATTGCCAAAAAAAGCAATAAGCTAATTATCAAGCGAGACCATACTAATATGTACTACCTTCGTCTCATTCTATGTACTACGTATCTTACTTGGTTTAACACAATTATTAATAATGTGATTGAAAAAGTAAAAGTTGTGATTGAGATTTGAAAATAATAAAGTAAATCACATATTTCTTTTCAAAAATGAAACGTGACACTTATTTTAGGACAACTCAAAAAGAAAAATATGACATGTAAAATGGGACAAATGGAGCAACTTACTTCGTAATTGGTAGATCATTTGGGGAAGCACCGTCACGCCGAGGTCATTTGGGGAACTTCTCGGTGTAATTTTTGATGAAATTTTTTGATCATTTTCTTCATCAAGTCTAATTTATCCATACCAAATTATAGCTAAAAATTCAATCGGGAAGACAGTCAAATAAATTCTTTACAAAAACTGTGCTTTATATATATAAACAACGCAGTTTGTTTGAAAAAATTATTTGACTGCCTTCCTGATTGAACTTTTAGCTGAAATTTGGTATGGATATAGACTTGATGTAGAACATGTTCAAAAAAAATCATCGAAAATTTTCACTGAGAAGGGCCTCAAAAGGTCTCGGCCGGAATCCTGTCGGACCGGTGTCAGGATCGCTACTCTATACTGTCAATGGTAATGCATGATTTGAGAATTGAGTACTAGCCCAGGCCCAAGAAGTTTTATGTAATGCATTATTTGAGAATTGAGTAGTAGCCAGGCCCAAGAAAATGGTGGCGTGAGATTCACAATCTTGAACGTCATTTGACCAACCAACCGTTTGTACGAATCATGGCAGCTCCCATTCAAATCGAATGAAACGGAAACAATTATCAAATTTCTTCTGATTTTAGCTGGATTGCCCTATCCGCCATAACAATGTAAGTCAAGGAATTTTCTCATAGATCCATTTATTGTTAGTTATCGATCTTCTTTTAGTAAATCTTTTGAATGAAGAAGAAGAAGAAGATACACTTTTCCCATTAAAAAGAAAGTTTTTGCAATTCACAGCCTACATATGTCATATTTTCCGCTATTCTACACTCTTTCGTTTCACTTTTGTAGCATTGTCCGCATAACGGCACATGATTTATGCGGATTCATCTTTTTCGTTTTTTGATTGAATGTTTTTCATGAACTTTCTTCCGCATGCTTTTTCCTTTAATTTGTTTCTTTGGAACTTTCATATGGAAATTCCCACCAAAAGATATGGAAGTATACCTTTCAGTCTTTCACTTTCAATTTCCTTGAGCTTTGGGGGGTTTGAAGATCATTGTGGTCATTTTAAAATTGATTCTGCTCCTTTAAGGAGCTCTAAGATGAAAATTAAGTTAATGAGTGTTTGGAAATAACTTTAGAAGCACTGCCTGATGATAAAGAACAGTTTTTGAGAATTCCAGGTACTAGTTTCTGAATTGGTTCTGCTTTTAAACTCTATTTCTTAGACCTTAAATACCTCCATTGTTACGTTCTCCAAATTTGGAAAAAGAGTAAGCACAGCCAATCCCAAGCCCCAATTTTTTCATAATAAATTGCTATTTCCATTATATTATGATTTTGATGCTTCAGTTTTACTTTTTTGGGAGTGTCATACTCTCATATAAAATAACATGACCTTTTTTTTTTTCCTTGAATACAACCCCATATAGACGTGTTGATGAAATTAAAAATTGCAAAATCGTTTCATTTCCTTTATTTTGAAATACAATGTAGACCTAGGAGAGTTAAAGAAAGTTTTTTTATGAATAGTATAAGAGTCTCATTTCTATAGTAGTCACTACGTATATTGCTGTGCCAAAATTTGTTCCGGGTTTGGATTTGGAATGGTTAAATAGACTAGAGAAGTGGAATAAAACTCCATTATTTATTTAGTCAGCTCAAACAGCCTGTTTTAACCAAATTTAAATTGTTTGTAACAGTGTTGCAGACAGTGAGATGTCACAAGGACCAAGGTGTATGAATATTTGAATGGCATGCCTGTCTTGCGCTCTTGTTTAGTAACATTACCAAAATGGTGGTTTGAGATAGCTAGAGTTAGTTCCCAGAGATGATATGGGGTATGACATGGAAACTAGAAGAGGTAATTTAGATATTGATATTGATTTGGAGAGTGGGGAAGTGATAGCAGATGGTAGTGGAAGTGAAATCTTGAATCTGAGTGGTGATAATCCCGGCATATTTTTGCACAGAGCTTGGAATTCTTTGCCGGTAGAGCAGTTGAAAAATGGATCGATTTCAGGTGAAGAGGGTGTCCATTCATGTGGGCAGATTTTGTCTGATAATTCTGTTAAGAATGCAGAATTAACAGATATTCACTCGAGCAAAGTGAAGGACTGTAAAAGAAATCCTAAAGGGAAGAAAGCAGCTAAAGAGAAATTAAAAAAGCCAAAGCCTTCAAAACCACCTAGACCTCCCAAAGGTCCCTCATTGGATGCTGCTGACATCAAACTCATCAAGGAAATTTCTGAGATGACATTACGGAAGCATAAAAGATTGGAACGCCTAAGCCTGTTGAGGAAAATAAAGAAAGAGGGAAAATCATCCGCTAAAGCTAATGTCTTGGCAATGGGAATTACAGTGCTGTTCTTCTTTGTTATTATATTTCACGGTAAAGATGCCTTTCAGAGTTTGAAGATATGATTATTTCAATTTGTCATTTATCTTCCCCTAGATATGCTTTGCCTAACACATGGTTCTAGCATTAAATTCTTATATGCAATGAGTTATCAAATAATGGTATATTCTCCCCATTCCAGGCTATAGATGCATATCTGCCTGACTTGGTTTAATTTTCGATATCCACGTTATTGTGTTTTCTCTTAGGACCAATGATTATATTGTTTCTTGTTGCCTCTAGTAATATGGCTGCACAAGTGCACAACCATCTCAAATTGGTCAAATATACAAATATAAAAAATATAAATTCAAACATATGAATAAAAATATAAATAAACTTGGGCTACCTGTATTATCACATTAACTTTATAGCACTAAACCTCATATCTTGATAGGGACTTGGACAGCCAATAATAATAAGAATAATAGAGTATTATTAAATAGTGTTATTGTATAAATAAATGTTCTGGGCCATGTAAGTATGGGCCGGCCCTTAAGAATAGAAAGTGTATAAAAGGGGGGAAAAGGGGAGGAATAGGCAGGCAGAATTTGGAAGAGGAACTGGGACTCCTGGGAGAGATAGGCACTCTCGAATTTGCCTTTGTATTTCTCTTTCTATACTTTCTGTTATACGACATCTCTTTTCTTCATCTTTGATTCTTGAAATCTCTAGTGAAATTAGTTAGATACCTAACATTGGTATCAGAGCACCATTTCTGACACATGTCCATGGTTGCGATGCGTGGAACAATGGAAGGAAAATTGGACTGTTTCGAACGCGAGCTGGAACATCATCGTGAAGAGTTGCGGCATGAGATGGCTGAGTTGCGCGCACTGTTGATAAAGCAGAACGACGGACATGAGCGAGGAAAGTCAAGAACCTCAACTCGCGACAAACGACATGACAGTCCAACGCAATCATACTCCAGAGAGAACATGGAGCGGGAGAAGAATTGCGAAGGGGCCAGACGCACTAACGAAGAGTTACGCGAATTAATTCTGCAGAGGAATGATCGCCAGTTCGCCACTCAAGCGGAAAATTTAAAACAACAAAGCGAAGCAAGAAACATGATAGTAGCGAATCTTCTTCGTCTTCTTCAGGTAATCATTATTCTTCACGAAACAATGATTATAGCAAGTGGATGGAGAAATCTGGAAGGAAAGTAGATTTACCAGTATTCAATGGGGATGAGGTGTACGGATGGATAATTAAGATGGAACTATACTTCCAACTCAACGCTATTGCGGAAAAACATAAGGTTAGAGTAGCAGAAGAAACAATGGAGGAAAGGGCGTTAGACTGGTTCCAATGGTGGGAAATTGAAACTAGAGAAAAGAATTGGGAAGTTCTGAAGGAAGCTACAATTCGGAGATTCCAACCTACACGCAGGCGGAAGACAGAAAACCGAAAATCATCGCACTCGCAGTCGCACACAGTGTCTACCAGTTCGCAGGTCTCAGTTCGCAGGGCTCAAAGAGCGACTTATCTCAGTTCGCAGGTCTCACCGCAGGTCTCACCGCAGGTTTCATCCAATACTTCCGTTTCTCACAGTCCGCAAGTTGAGTCAGTTTCATTCCCGTAGCAGTCTGTGAGTCAGCGACAACCTAACTCTGAAGATACATTCATCAATGGTGATGAGGAACCAGAGGAGAAAACTTCTGTGGTGATTCAATCCATTGCCATGGAATATAAATTTGGCGTCGATAAAATTGTTGGTTCAAATACTTGGGAAAGCTCTACAGAAACTGTCAGTATAGAGGAAACTGGGGAAATAGAAGAGGATGAATCAAAGTCTGAGAAAAAGGAGGACAAAATTGAAATGCAAAACCAAAATAATTCCTCTGCGGGGTTTGATAGTTTGAGCTATGTTCACGGTTATAATTCTGATCTCATGAAAGTAGCTAACAACAGGGATGCTGAAAAGGTACTGCACCACTATCAGGTCACAGAAAACAAATTAGAGGTCCGTGGTTGTCTTGGTATGGATTATAACCAGTACTTTGGTGGTGATATGATGTACTGGAATCCTTCTGACCCTATTCAACAGTTCTTAACTATGGGGACCACAGATGGTATGCTGAAAGCAGTTGGAGGGAACAACATGGAAGGCCCTATGGTATGGGAGCTGGAAAACAAACACTTATCTTCTATATTAAAAAGGAAGTCAAACCTATCCACATTCTATGCTATCTGTGGCACTCATTACATGCTTTTGGGGAAGAAATATGATTATGTGTCTATGATGAAATATGATGCCAGAAAAAGACAGGTTGTACATTTGTATCAGCAGCGTTCTAATGGAAACTGCCTGGATGCTTCAACTCAAGGTCAGGGGGTGATTGAGCAAAGGGTAGGAATAAAGGAAGCTGCTGGGGTTAGGTACTTCACTGGCACGTTTGACAGCCCCTTGGAGTCTCACCTTGATTGTTCTAAACAGTTCCCTGTAATGAACTTTGCTCCAGAAATACTGCTAATATTGACACAGGGGATAGGAAAACATGTGTTTGTGCTTGACCATCAGATGCATATGATTGTTGACATATTTGATTCGTTGCTTTCACCTTCCATAAGCTCCATTTTAGCCTTGCCTGATGAAAGTTTCAGCATGCAACAGCATGAACAACCAACTCCAATGAGTTTTCCAATGCTCAAAATATTCCAACTAGAAATACCCGAGATAACTCAAATACAAGCACAACATGGGAGTACCATGTTGGATGGGGAAATCTATAGGGAAGAGACACAGTTGGTGGGAGATTCAAACTTTTGCAACCTAAGGGAGCACTCTGCCACCATGACTTTGTTTCTACTCGATTTTGAAGTAAAGAAAAATAAGATGCAGCTTCAAGTACTGAAGTTAAAGATTCACAAACTCGGGATGTATTGGGAAGGAAGAGGTGCCAGAAAGAAGATGAAGTTGCAGATCAAGGCTGTTTCCTATCACCCACCTTGAGGACAAGGTGGTTGATCAAGGGGGGAGATATGATAGGGACTTGGACAGCCAATAATAATAAGAATAATAGAGTATTATTAAATAGTGTTATTGTATAAATAAATGTTCTGGGCCATGTAAGTATGGGCCGGCCCTTAAGAATAGAAAGTGTATAAAAGGGGGGAAAAGGGGAGGAATAGGCAGGCAGAATTTGGAAGAGGAACTGGGACTCCCGGAGAGATAGGCACTCTCGAATTTGCCTTTGTATTTCTCTTTCTATACTTTCTGTTATACGACATCTCTTTTCTTCATCTTTGATTCTTGAAATCTCTAGTGAAATTAGTTAGATACCTAACATATCTTGATATGATATTACATTTAGAGTACACTGCACTCAAACGAGTTACTAGATCCGATTAAGACTCACAAAAAAAAACATGAATTTCAACTTTGGTTTACTCCAATGAACTACCATTTGTCGGCATGGTTCCCAGTTCCCGCACATATGCTAGGTGCTCCTCGTGCACGTATATTTTTCTCTTGCTACGGATCTATCTCCATAACCTATTTAGGAATAGGCTCTTGTCCACCACCGAGGCAATTTATATATGACCTTGATGCTTTGTGGAATTAATTGAAGCTGACCCTCTTGTGGGGGTAAAGTCTTGGTACTAACAGTTGTTTGTTGGAGTAAGAATGACTTATGTTTGCTGTATGGATAACTTAGTATTATGAAATATTTTTCATTAACTTGATTGATTGTGTGTACAGCCGTATCCATGGATACTTGACAAACATATCAGTATATATGGAAACAAGATATATATATCTCTCTAAAATATTCTAAGGAGGATTCCTAATAAACTGAACCATATTAAAGACAACGAGATAAAAAGAACTACGAAGACAAAGTTGTATACACTTGAAATCTCATTGACATCTTTTCTGCTTGGTGTGCTTTTTATTATTCTAAAATGTGGAGTGATGGAATGTAGCTATTTTTTTCCAGGCCTTCTGAGCTCCAATAGATGATCTACCCTGCAAGTTACTTGTTCATGAAGTTGCACCACAGATGAAAGTGAACGCTTTGACTGGTTAGAGTCAGTTTGGCAGCCATCTCTATCAATTTTACAGAATACTTCCTTTGGGAAAACTCAGCAGATTCTACCAAACAGCCCTTACTGAAGAAACTAATCTAACTTTTCTCTTGATTTATTGTAGCCAAGGAGATCAGTTGTACAGAATGTAAAACTCTTTTGGGGTTGTAGACTTCTAGTGAATTAGATACTCCGTGAGCGGAGTTTTAACTTACTTTAGTAGTTGTTATGGTGATCAAATCCTGCGGCATATTATTTTGTTCAGTTATGGTGAATATGCTCTAAAGTTCAATTAATTGTGACAGAAGGAATTGACAGGGGCCATACGAGCAATCTCCAGATAAGAGAGAGGGAGATTGAGAGAAGTAGAGCGATGAGTAGAGGACTTGAAGAGTTGAAGGGAGAAAGAGATATTTCACATTTTTTAGTACGGAGTATTAAAAAAAGAAAGGTGAAACGTTAATCCTGCATTGAATAGACAGTAAGTACAGTACTAGTGCACTTTTACCTTTTTAAGAGTACAAGACTCCTAAAGAGGAATGTTATTGTACTCATTGACAAAAAATTATCACCTTAAACTATCTTGATAAGTTTTTGTCAATTTTAATCCTTCCACAGAGATGACATCCCATCCCTGAGAGCCCTCAACCTCGATCGGACGTTACGTTGGAAGGATGTAATTAGACTATAATCCCAATCTGACAGATAGAGAGTGGGACTATGCCCCCGGTACTTGCAGAGCCCTATGCATTTTTAACACTTGTGGCACTCTCTTGCTACCAGTTGAGCTACGCCCACCGGTACTTTACGTCCACCGTTAATTGGTTGTTGGGGGTTATGTTAGTTGATTGATGACAGCACATTCAGTTGGCTGTTTTGGTTAGTTGATATAATTAGCTGTTTGGAAAACAGTGTTTGGTTAAATGGTTATTTTTAATTAGCTGATAACTTGTTAAATGACTTTTAAGAATATCAATTATTTTCTTTATTAATATAGTCAGTACCACTAGTTTAACCGTTTTTATAATTTTAAAAAAATAAAAACGTATTAACACAAGTGATAATTATTTTAAACATTGTTTTTCACAAATTAATAAATTTAATTAATGAAATAAAAAATAATTCATATGATGATAAATAAATGGAGTTGCAAGTAAAAATATATGGAGTACCAGTTTTATGGTATTAAGACAATCAAATGCCTTGCTGTATTTCATTTGATTTCATTATTTTATTACAAAAGAGGAGAAACTAAGAAGTATAAAATTAATAATTTTCATAAAATTATACTCATCAATGTTCCAAACTTTATCACTGATTCATCAAACGAGATGGTGACTTATAAGTCGTCAAACGACCCGGTGACTTTGCCCAACCCGGGTTAAGCTCAGCAGTATATCCGTAAATACTTTTAACTCAGCATTATTTTGGTAAATACTTAATCAAATCCCACTAATCCGGAAACAAACTCCTTTTTTCGTATGTTTTTTATATTTGGTATGACAGTACGTACTATGTAGTTTTTATGTGAAGAATATTAATGTTATGTGCAGAATATTGAACAAAAGTCAATTTGTGAACTCTAGAAATTAATGTATGTGCAGAATATTAATGTTATGGGAGGGCCCACTAATGAAATTGCCAACAAGTGTGATCCGATAGTTTAACCATCTTTTTAAGCCAACAGAATAATTTTTTTCTCTTCATCAAATACATGAGAAATGGGCAATTTATGAGAAGAGAGTGCGAGAGTAGTGGGGGTAGACTAGGAATATTTATAATATCAAGACAAAAGCCATGCCCAAACACTTAGATAAGTGGCGTTTCAAAAGTTGGTTGTTCAGGGCAAGAAGCTGAATAGAAAAGCTGTTTAACCAAACACCTAATTAGCAGATTCATTTGGTCAAAAGGCTAAAAACTAGTCAAAACAGCTAAAAAATGGTTGATATGCCACTAACCAAACAGATTCATTGTCACTTTTGATACTCGAATTTGATTTTTTTCCAATTTTAGTTAAGAACTAAAAATGAAAAAGTTGAAATCGAGTATCAAAAGTGTCACTTACACAATAGTTGAGGGATAGAAAGTGGAAAAACTCTTTTCTTGATCAACAATGATAAGTTTTGAATATAGTGATTTAATTATTAATTATATCGAGAAATTATTAAAGTAAGTCAACATATCATTCAAAATATTATAACAATCTATGAAAAAGGAATATATTGAAGTATATTTCTATATAACAAAACCCACACTCTATATTGAAGCCTAACAATGAGTATCGCTATATCTTCTTCATAGCTTTTAATTTACTTTCTGTTTTTTATTTGTTCTTTTATAAAAACTTATTGAATTGTATCTATAATCTACTCATATGAATTTCAATATGTGAAAGTAATGTAATATGATACTTTTGAAATATGTATTGATATGGCATTTTAAAAATGATCATAACTTCAATATCAAATGAACGTACATAACTTATAAAGTGCACATTGATATAAAAATCGTAAGATTTGTTAGTTGAACATCACACCATTTTCATTGAACATCAAACATCTACTATTGAGAGAAAAAAAAACACGGTTTCTATTGAATGAGCACCTAATGATTTTTTATTGAGCATCCTATCTAATCTATTGATTATTAGGATCCAAACAATGAGCAACACGATCTCTGATTCATATCTTCTAATTCACTTCCTTTTTTATTTTCTTTTATAAAGAGTTATTAAATTATATCTATAATCAACTCCTATAAATTTAAATATGTTAATCGAATGTAATATCGTACTTTTGGAATATGCATTGATATGACATTCTAAAAATGAGCATAACATCAGTACCAAATACGCATAGCTAACTTACAAAATGCGTTTTGATATGAAAATTGTAAGGTTTGCTAGTTGAACATCAAGACATTTTCATTGAGCATAAAACGCTTTCTATTGAAATAAAAATCACGATTTCTGTTAAATGATCATTAAAATTTTTTAACGAGCATCAGACTTATTCAGTTGAGTATTAGGAGTCCAATATTGAGTATTGTGATTTGTGCTTCATAAATTCTGATTCACTTTCTCCTTTTTTTTCTTTTTTCTTTTATAATTTTTTAAACCATAAACTTACTATTTTCATTATTTCTTCTTTAATATCAAAAGTTTAACAACAACAACAACCAATAAGCCTTACACGGTATAAATAGCATTAAATGGTAAAAAACTGCTTTACAAATATGTGTAAAAGAATATTACAAACGTATCTATATGATTAAACTATGAGCTCAATTTTTTACCATTTTGGTTTTCATTGTATAATAATATACGCGACTGTTTTTTATTGAAATAATGACATACGGAGTATTTTATATGTAACTAAAATAAAAACTAAAACAATGACACATTTACTATATTAGTAAATCTTAGTCACTATAATTATGTTTGACTTTGTACTATATGAAGTCATAATAAGTTTAGTCATATTTTTGTTCAATAATTTTATTCCTGTAAAATTATAAAAAAGTTTTTCTTTATATGGAGTGTGTCTGTAAGGAGGCACATCATAGTACTATGCCTTTTCCTTTAACATAATTAAGTTGAATCTTTTTCATTAAAATTGGCAATTTTTAGTTAGATAAATTATAACGATTTTATAAGATTCATTGATTTGTATATCCTAATAGTAATTCTTAAAAATTTGAAAGCAACAATTAACAATTTGAGTATGATATTGATTCATTGTGTAATTCTTTCTCTTCCAATTTACAAAAATTAAACGGTCACGTGAAATCAACTTCATATATGATTGATTGCTATCAAATACATGCAGTTGTACATTACATTATTGACTACAGGTGAGGTGTTACAACTTCCTAAACATGTAATTATTTTGTTTATTTTCCAATCTCGATGGGAAATGGTATGATCAATGATAAGTATACACCTTTAAAGAGTCACTATTTCTATTAATATTATGAAATTGTAATACTCCTTACATATTAATATTGGGTGTTTGATAATGTGAAAATTTTGGTTTTTATAGATGTACTATCAATGAATGTTTTTTCTTATTGGATGTTTACAAAAATTTGATCAATGACATTTTTAGCGTTCCTCAATTGCTTGGATCCTTTGTAATTATATTCTATAAACACAGATATGTAACAAAATATTTAAATATCTAATGACAAGTATTTTTGTTAGTACGAAGTGATCCAAACTTTGTCGAACTTTGTGCTCTGAAAAATCGATCCCAAATTTTTAACAGATGTAAATCCGAGTTGGTCAAACTATTCGTTAGATTCCCACTGCCATATAATGACATAGTTAAAAATATAACATATGTATCCCGTGCAACGCACGAGTAAAGAATCTAGTATTTAAGAACACTATTACCTATTTATTAGTTTCAACTTGGCTGGGGTGATGAGTGGAGATAATTTATTGTTTGCTAATGATAGTTGTAAAACTAAATAGTGTTTAAATACATAAAATAGCAACCAAGCATTCCAACCCATCTGGTTGTGAGGTTACCGTGTCTAGTGAGAGGTCTCGAGTTCGAAACCCTCTAGGCACATAAAGGGCTGAAACTCAATAGAGTGAGTTTCAACCCTCATTACTACGGGCCCCCCAGACGCCCCCTGGAGTAAATAAGAAACCTAAAAGAGCAAAAAGCTTCATAAAAGCTAATTACTCTTATTTTTAATGTTATATATACTTTTATATGCTTATTAATATAACAAATATATATACTTTTATATGCTTATTAATATAACAAATATTTTTAATGTTATATATACTTTTATATGCTTATTAATATAACAAATATAAATATTGACTGTTTTTTTCCAAAGCGTTGATCGGGTTGATTTACGGGGTCCAGACTGAGATCTAGTTTGGTAGAACCCAAATTGGCTGTATTAGTTGATTTTGTTGAAATTTATGACGTTTTGGCTGAAATGGCTATCTATATTGACTAATTTAGCTGATTTATGAAAAAATTATACTAAAAATACATTTTATTGATAAAATAAAGAAAATATTATATGGAAAAACAACTAAAATGATCATCCACAATAACTTCAGTCAATACAGACAGAAGAGTAACTCATACCTTAATTATTATTATTATTACATAATTAAGTGTTCGAAATCAAACGTTATGTATTTGGTGGAAAAAATGATTGATGACCCTGATAAGACGAAAAATATGATCACCGAACAGGCTCCGACTCATTACCCGATCATTCGTCCGGGTTGGTTCTAAAGAATCACAAATCAATTAAGAGCATCTTATTACTCTGTTTTTTTGGCTTATTAAGGTTTTCAATGAACTTTATCATCAAACAATATAGCCAATACAACCGATTTGAATAAATTTTTCATATATCACCGGAATCAACTAATTCAATCGCTTCTATCAAACTTCATAAATTTAACCCCTAAATTTAAATAGAATGGATCGGGAAGTATAACAAAGGGACTCTAAATGTGGTAAAGTTGAAGGGGAAGTATATATACTCCGTATGTATTTACTTTACTTAAATGTGAAAAGTCAATCGTGAATGAACCGTCTTTCCCTGACAAAGCGTAACGAATAACGATACACTCAATTGTGACCCTTCAGCGTGGAATTACTATGCCCTCTATGGAATTCCCAAAGTACCCCGCTCCCTACCCCACTTTCGCTGCTTTTCACGGTCTCTCTCCCCACCGCCTTTACCATCTCACAGCCTCACCTGTATCGTCAATGGAAGACTCTCACTCCCACTCATACTCTCAGCCGCAACTACGGCAGTCTGATGCTGAAGATGGATGTCGCGTGCCCACTGGTCCTCACCACGCGAGCGATGGTAGCTCCGATGCTTCTGACGCTGTGTTCTCTCGCTGCGCCGCTGGATCCAACTGCGGAGCTCGCTACAAGCTCATGTCTCCGGCGAAGCTCCCGATCGCGAGGTCCTCCGGTATCTCCGTTCCTCCTGGCCTCAGTCCGACGTCCTTGGTCGAATCTCCTGTTCTTCTATCAATAAAAGTTAGTTACTTACCCACTTATCTTTATGCGAGATAGAATGTATTCTCCTTCTTTACATCCTCTGTTGATTTTTAGTATTTCTGAGTTTCGGATTAGATGCCCAGTTGGCCGTCTTTTGCTTGAATAATACACCTGCAGTAAAAAAATTACAGTAAATGTGAGACTGGAAGTCTCGAAATTTCGCTTTTTGTTCTTCTTCTCCTTTCTAGTTCCAATCAATTTACATGCTGCTAGGAAGGCGTACATTGCGCTGTCGTGAGCTGGAGTTATGTCGGTTGTCTTACTAATTGGGGCTCTTTTTCATTTCATTAATTAAGTCGCACAGTAATATTAGTATGATGCATAGAAATCAGATGACTCGCAGTGGAAAATTCGAGGAATTCCTGTATGGCATAATTTGCGCTGGTGCCATCTTAAAGAATTTGAGTTATTGGTTAAATGTGCGGTTCCTTTCGTTATGGACTTATGGGCAACTAATTCTCTTTGTTGACTTGGTTCTTTTTCGGTACTTGCTATCTTTTATTGGGAAAACATACTGTTAAACGTAGTATTATTTATTTGAAAAATTGCCATCCCATATGTACAAATCTGGACTGTTAAACCTCTTGTACTTCAAATAGGCTATATTTGATTGATTCTAGGAGAGAATTGTTACTTACCTCATTTTTAAAAAATATTCTGTATTGTCTTTCTCCCCTCTCCTAGAATCGTATTGGGCTCCAGTGACCGGTGTTCTTTTTCTCACATAATGGATATTCCAATAGGTTCCGTAAGTATGTTAGTTAATGTACTCATTGGGTGATATCGTATCAAGGTAGTCTGTATTTGTTTCATATTTGTGAGTATTGAGGTAGTCCATATGTTATCTAAATATATAGCTTTATTGTTCTCTTAATGGGACAAGGCATAATGTGAAAAAATGGTAGAAGGAAAAATCTGCATGATATTTATCTTATACAGAGTAACTCTTTAGCTAGGAAGCTACCTGATAGTGAAATATCTGACTAGCTGATCAATCGATTACTTTCTATTCTTCCAGGCAGAGCCTTCTCCCACGACTGGATCCTTCTCAAATCTGAACCTGATGCAAGGCTCAAGTGGCTCTGAATTTTCATTTCCAGATAGCACAGGCTTTAGTCAAAGAATGTCAAGGAACTTTGAGTTCAAGTTTCCCATTGGATCCAGCTCTACACCTGGATTAACATCAATTGGACATAAGGTGATATGACTAATCTCTAATAACTATCTGTTCTTGAAGAGGCTCATAATATCTTTTGAATTAGGGGAGAAGAATACAGAAGATAAAAAGCAATTATAATATCACCATTAAACTTCTTTTTCCCTGAAGAAGTCACATTTGCTTTTGTTTTCTCTCAATATTTTTACCATATCTCATGCCCATGCAAACCTAATATTTTGCGTTGAGAACCTCAATTTGGCTGTTGATATTATATTTCATATTCCGGAGTCATTAGATGTTTTAATTAGCATATTACTACTTCAATCCCTTAAAGAACTTCAGAGTTTGACCTTCACGGGGTTTAAGGAAGTCAGACTTTTTTCCTTTGACTCCTTAAAAAAGTTAAAATGCCCTTTTTAACGGAGGGTAAATGTGCAGAGTGTACTGTTTTGACTGTGTACAATACGGTTACTCGAGGTTAATTGAGTACAATGATAAAACTATCTTTCCCAAATAAAGAAAGAACACTTTTTTCTAACTGAACATGTGTGTTAATTACCAACATAACAGTCATCGTTTTACTACAGAAATCTGCAGGCTTGAACCAGCAGCGAAGTGAATCTCAAAGACAACTTCAAGATCATTTGTTTTCTCAGCCTTTGGCACCATTGTCTTTGGTTGAATCTTCCATTCCTACATCAAATGAATTGAATACAGCTGTTACTCTGCATACATTGTCTGATGGTACTGATGCAATAGAGTCGAGTGACCTTAATCAGGGAGGGAAAACAGTAAATTCTGATCAACCTTTTGTCACAGCTGAAAGATCATCAGATGATGAGTATAACTGGCGAAAGTATGGCCAAAAACTTGTGAAAGGAAGTGAATTCCCACGGAGCTATTACAAGTGTACATATCCAAATTGTGAAGTGAAAAAGATATTTGAACGCTCTCCTGATGGAAAAATAAAAGAGATTATATACAAAGGCTCACATGAACATCCCAAACCTCAACCTAGTCGTAGATTTACTCCTGGTGGTCTTATGTCCATCCAAGAAGATCATTTCGAGAAAGATTATTCCTCCAATGGTCCAGACGGTAATATAGCCTCAACTATTTTTTTCATATACTGTGATAATTATGATACATGTTGATAAACCTCTACCCTTGTGTTATATTGAAGATAAGTTCAAATGGAATGGCCAGACAGGTAATATGCAGCATCGTGGGACCCCTGTTGTTTCACCTCAAAAAGTAGATGATGATGGCAATGAAGGTGCAACTCTACTACTGCTGGGTGCTAATGATGACATGGATGAGGATGACCCATTTTCAAAAAGAAGGTAACCTTGTTATAAATTATCCAGTTTTATTTCCATATACTCTAATGAATTACATGAAAATCGAAATTAGGAAGATGGATGGCGGTACTGATATCACACCATTGGTCAAGCCTATCCGTGAACCTCGTGTTGTTGTTCAAACCGTGAGTGAGGTTGATGTATTGGATGATGGCTATCGCTGGCGTAAATATGGACAAAAAGTTGTTAGGGGTAATCCAAATCCGAGGTAAGGCAATCTCTTTTGAGGTTTATGTTCCCTAACTTCTTAGACTACTGTTCCCTTTGATAGTGTCATAGTGTTATCTCTAAATTTTTTATGTCCGCGAAACATGTAAGGCTTTTCATCAACTTTTGACATTGCCAATTTACGTTTTCAAATCTTATCATCATGGGTTACTATCAGGAAGAGAAAACATACTCATATGGACATATAGTACATTTGCGATTATATCATTGCTTGGGGCATTTGAGGACAATGATAAAGATGAATCACTGAGTGTTCATCTTGTTTATTCACGATAGGCATGTGAGACATTATTAGCAATTATTGTTTTATAGGGGATGTGCTGATTCATAAAAGTCTAAATATCTTTATATTAGAAATACTCAAATTGTTGGCGGAGACAGGGAGTACTTAATATAATGTTCTCAACTGTATGAATGTTTTGGGTGCATTCCCCCTCAAATATCCTCTTCCCCTTCACCGTTTAATACTTGAATTTTAGGTTGCATACAAAATTTTAGTAGCTAGTAAATTTGTTGTCCATACCTATACCATCTGAGTGATCTGATCCATTTTCCAAGTTCTCTACATAATGCAGGAGCTATTATAAGTGCACCAATGCTGAATGCACAGTCAGAAAACATGTTGAAAGGGCTTCCCATGATCCCAAAGCTGTTATCACCACATATGAGGGAAAGCATAATCATGACTTACCCATAACCAGACCCAACAGTCATGAAATAGCCGGCACAGCACATAAAAGTATATTATCCAGAGTTAGGCCAGAAGTGAATAATGTGATTAGCCTTGATCTCGGGGTTGGTATTAGCTATGGTATTGAGAACAGAACTGTTCAAAGTCAAGTTCTAGCTTCTGGAATGATGGGCATTGCAAATGGTGGACTGAACCGATATGACTCCAGAGAAAATCATGTTCTGGCATCTGGCTTTGAGACACGGCTACCTTTGCAATCATCCAACCAGTGTCCTCCACAAACCCTTGGAAGAATACTAATGGGACCATAAATATCCAGTAGAAGTTAAAGATGAGCAATTACAAAAAGCCACATATTTGAGTTAGTTGGATGACATTATCCTGTATCTTTAGTTCACGTACAGTCATACAGGCCAGGTATAATACCTCAAATATCTCAAGATAGAATTAATTATGCTGTATAATATCATGTCACCCCGTTGGGCAACTGCTTCTCTGTGTAATTAATTAACTTGGATATTATATCTATAAGAATTGGTCGTAATATGAATCTTTGGCCATTCTTCCCTCGATCCCTCCCACATGCTTTACTACAACAGTACAACTCATTGCATGTTTTGTGTTCTTTCTGTACATGTTTGAGGTGTAGGTAAGTTGTGCTTGATGAAATAGCGTGCAATCCTTTGAATATATAATTGCACTTTGGAGGGCCTTCTTTCAGAGCTATGAAGTTAATGGAAAATGTAGAAGGAAAATCCTGTTTACGGTGATGTAGCATGGAAAATCTTGTTTGTATGTGCCCAGGCATTTCTTGTTATCAAAATATGAATTTTTTTCAATAGGCACATTTTGTTGGCGACTTAACTTCACAGAAATAAACTACTTTTTCAGTTTAATTTCATCATGCGGACAATTTTTTTGAAAAATTAGGACAACATATTTTTTTTATCGACATCACATACAATAATTCTGGTTACATTTTCAATTTTATTTTCAAAGGCTCCAACCCTAATTCATTTTCCAATCGTAGAAGATGATGGTGAAGGGGTTAAGATGAAAGATAACACAAGAGGATGGCGAAATTGAAAGGTGATTGAAATGAAAGAAATGGAGACCATAAGAATGATATGGTTTCACACTCGTTTGGTAACATCACTTATTAGCTTCATTATTCATTTCTTTTATCAAATACATAGTTTTTTATTATGCACGTTAAATTTTTGCAATAATCAAAATTAGTAAAGTTTGAGTTAATGTTTTAGTTGAATTACTATAGTATATGTGCGATACACGGGATATGATTACATTCTTTTGACATATTTCTCAAAGTATTTAGAATTAATGTTACTCTAATAAATGTCTAAATTGAACTCAATTAAATAAACAATGTCTAATAACATCAAATAATATATTTTTTACAAATTCTAAAATACTTATGTACAATATTTTTTGTTTCAATGGTGCATTTATCATTCTTGTAACGTAGAAGAATTTTCAACCCAAAGTGACGAGGAAAATGCAAAGAGGCAACATTTAATAGATCGCAATTGAAAACTAATTTTTGGAAGTAATAAATAATCAATTTAAAACAAATCATATTATAACATTTTAGAATAACTAAACATATTTTTTACGTTAGGAGCGTTTATACATAGTCTTTTTTACTTTTCATATTTACCACCGGTGATATTACTTATGGAGTGATATTCATGGTGAAGAAAGATCTCCACCATCCATCTATGAGTCTATGTTGTTTGTATATTTGATATTCAAATTTTCAACTAAAAACAATAAATTAAAAATCATATGAGAAGAATTTCAAGGGAGGGTGGAAGGAGTTTATGAGAATTCTAGTTTCTCTTGATGTTGCGGCTCCTCTTAAACGACGGGTTAAACTCAAAAGAGAAGGGGAACCCCTTTGGATTGATCTGAAGTACGAATGCTTGACGCACTTCTGCTTCATATGCGGACTTATGGATCATACTGACTGCATGTGTTTAAGACGCTTTGAATATGCTTCTGGAGGAAGCTCTATGGGGCCGGTTGAGAGTCGGAAGCAGTAGGGGGGCGTTGAGTACAGACAACAGGTGGCGTGTGGATCAAGAGGGGAGGTTTATTCATGCAAAACCTCCTACCAGGACTGATCTAAGCATTTTGCAGGAGATGGAGGAGGCAGTTGATGTCTCATCACACGCTGAAGGGATGCTGGCCAAAAAGCGCAAAGCAGAGGGTCTACTTTCACAAGGAACTTCTGGCGTTGCGCAAAACATGGACTATAGCTATTCAAAAAATGGGGAAGCGGCGGGTTCTGGCCTCTAGACCCACCGAGAATCATGAGTTGTCTGAGCTGGAACTGTCGGGGACTTGGCAACCCAGCGACAGTTCAAGCATTAGTGGACATTGTCCACTTGAAGCGGCTGGCGATGATCTTCTTAATGGAGACGTTTTCAAATTCTAGAAAAGTGGAATGTGTTATGCGCAAGTTGGGGATGGATAACTACTTTAACGTGGCGAGCATTGGCCATAGTGGTGGTCTGGCTTTACTTTGGGGAGATGGAGTCCAAATTCATATTCTGGGCTCCTCGAGCAACTATATTGATGCTACGGTGTTTTTGGAGGTTGGCGCACCTGAATGGCGATTCACGGGCTTCTATGGATGCCCTGAAAGACACAGGCGAAGGTAGTCGTAGGAGATCCTAAAATCCTTAAGTTTGGGGGCTGAGCTTCCTTGGCTAGTCATGGGGGATTTTAATGATCTTATGGTTGCTTCTAGGTGTGGCAGAGTCCCTCATCCGCCCTAGCTTTTACGAGGTTTTCGAGAAACTATCTAGGAATGTGGGTTGCAGAATTTTGGTTTTCGAGGTTACCAGTTTACGTGGGAGAGGTGGAGGGGTTCTCCAAACTGGGTTGAAGAGAAGTTGGACAGAATACTCGTTTCGGAAAGTTGGCTGGAATTATTTGGAGAAGCCTTGGCTGAATCTCTTGAAGGCTCCCTTAGTGATCACTTGGCTCTTTATATCAAGTTGATTCCTTCCCAAGGGCTTCGTAGGAGGCGAAAATTTAAATTCGAGAATGTTTGGCTTCGGGAAGTAGACTGTCATGGAGTTGTTGCACGGAGCTGGGGGGGTTGGCCGTGAGCTTGGAATTATGGGACAGGTAGCTATGTGTGGTAAGGCTGTAGCCTGTAGGTGATTGGGGATACAAGAAGGTTGGGGATTTATGGGAGACATATTAATTTTTGTAGGAAGCGACTTGAACATCTCTGAGGCCGTACTGATCAGTGGTCCGCGGGGGAATTTCAGAGAGTTAAACAAGAGTACTTAGATCTTCTTGAGCAAGAAAATATTTATTGGAAGCAGAGGGCCAAAGAATTCTGGCTTCAAGGAGGAGATATCAATACTCGATACTTTCACAATTCAGTCAAACATCGATGACGCAAAAATAAAATTGAAGGTTTCTGGTTGGAGGATGGGCGTTGGGATTCGGACAGAGAGGCGATTAGCAGTTTAATTGCTGACTATTTTACCCATATTTTTACTGCTGGTTCTGGGAGTGGGGATTTTGTTTTTCGGTTGCGTGAAACGGAAATTGAATGATTATCACAATCGGGATCTTCTTCGTCCCATACGTGGTGAAGAAGTGAAGGAGGCTCTTTTTTATATGTTCCCAGACAATGCACCTGGACCTGATGGTTTCAACCCGGGATTCTATCAGCATTATTGGGAGGTGGTGGGAGCGGATGTGGTTAGCTTCTGTAAGGAGGCTTTCGAGTCTGGTAAGCTACCAGAAAATATTAATCATAATAATATTGTGCTCATTCCCAAGAAGGATAATCCGGAGGTTATGGGGGGCTGGAGGCCCATTGCCTTGTGCAATGTGATATATAAGATTTTTTCGAAGGTTCTTGCTAATCGGCTTAAGAGGTGGCTTCACTTGTGTATTTCAGAACAATAGAGTGCCTTCATTCTCGGGAGACGTATTGTAGATAATATTATGCTAGCTTTTGAGTCTCAACACTTTTTGAAGAGGAAACGTCAAGGGAAAGTGGGTTTTATTGCTCGTAAACTTTACATGAGTAAGGCGTATGATAGGGTGGAGTGGTCCTTTCTGGAGGGTATGATGCGTCATTTGGGCTTTGCGGAGCACTGGATTCGCCTTGTGATGGAGTGTGTTACGTTGGTCTCATATTCTATTCCCTTTGACGGCTCAGAGATCGTCCAACCCAGGCCGGAGAGAGGTCTTCACCAAGGAGACCCTCTCTCGCCGTATCTTTTTCTTTTGGTGGCTGAGGGGCTGAGCGCACTGTTGCGGCGGCACGAGTCCATGGGCAGCCTTCATGGGGTCTCAGTGGCCCGGGGCACCAATGATCTCTGACTTATTCTTTGCAGATGATAGTCTTCTTTTTTTAGGGCTACACATGACGAGGCATCACTCATTAAGGAGGTTTTATTGGACTATGGAGAAGCTTTAGGTCGGGTAATTAACTTTAATAAGTCCAAAGTATTTTTCAGTTTTAATGTTGGGGCCGAACACAAGGTGGGGTTGACCGAATTACTTGGTGTGGGGCTGGCTGGGAGTGATGAAAAATATATGGGGTTGCCAACTTTAGTTGGGAGAGGCAAAAAGATATTTTGGGGTACTTAAGACAATGGGTGGTCAATCGCATTAAGAGTTGGAACAATACATTTCTTTCTAAAGCGGGCAGGGAGGTTTTACAGAAATATGTGATCTAAGTTATGCCAAATTACGCTATGAATGTTTTTCTCTTACCCGATGAGTTGTGTAAAGAAATTGAAATTCTTATGTTGGTGGAAGGGTAAGTCTGGAAAAGGAATTCGGTGGAAGGATTAGACTTTTTTATGTAGACCAAAAAAAAATTGGTGGCATGAGTTTTAAAAGGCTAAAGGAATTTAATCTTTCGATGTTCACCAAACGAGCGTGACGAATTTTTACTAATCCGGAGTCTCTTGTTGGTAGAGTGTTCAAGGCTTGTTATTTCCCTAGGGGGGGGGGGGGGGGGTTTATCAGCCACTCTTGGTCATAACCCTTCGTTTATTTGGAGGAGTCTATTTCAAACTCAAGGGGTGGTTCGAGATGGTTATAGATGGCGGGTTGGGAACGGTAAGTCTATCAATATATGGGAGGAACCCTGGCTGCCTGACAGGGATAATCCCAGACTTTTTTACTCCACTTTGTGAAAAATTAAAACACACTACTATGGACAACCTTTTTGACATTTCGGGTAGAGCTTGGGATACTGATATTTTACGAAATATCTTTACCGATAGAGACATTCTACTTATACAGTCAATTCCGATCAGTTTGAGCTTATCGCCGGATTTGAGATGCTGGAAGTGGGAGCAAGACGGGCACTTCTCAGTTAAAAGTTGTTATAGATATCTTGTTGGTGATTTCAGCTCGGCTGGGCGAGATGATTGGCCGGCTATGTGATCGTGGAAGCTTCCTCCAAAAATTAAAATTTTCTTCTGACAGACATGTAGCGGCTGTCTCCCAACCAGAAATAATTTGCAATCGCGCCGGATAGATTGTTCAAATCAATGCGGCCTGTGTGGGGATCCAGGGGAGTCTCTTCATGACCTGTGGGGTTCCGAGGGAGGCGTGGTCGACGGTATCCTGGAAGTGGACTGCTCAAGGTGGAAATGATTTCTTGGAGCAGGTTTGGAAGGAATTTCATGTGAGAAGAGAGGAGGATTTGGCGAAGTTGATTTGAGGTTGCTGGGCAATTTGGCGTGAGAGGAATTGTCGGGTTTGGCAGCAGTCTTCTTCTCCAGCGCATCAGTTTATGCTCAAGGCCGAGGCATTTGTGACGGGATGGTCCCAAGCACAGGCAGCTCGCAGGGAAGGAAGCTTAACAGGGCAGAGGATGGCAGTTTCTTGGTGTCGTCCAGCCGCGGGGATGATGAAACTGAATGTTGATGCTGCAGTTTGTACTGGTTACTGTGGGCTGGGTTGGTGTCTTAGGGTTGAGGAAGGTAAGTTTGTGGCTGGAGCAGCTCGTAAGTGGGAGGGGAATTTATCTTCACTGGAAGCCGAGTTGATTGGAATTAGAGAAGCATTGAGCTGGCTACAAGATTTTGAGTGGAAGGCGATTGAAGTCGAGTTTGATGCTTCCCGTGCCATTTTGGAAATTTTGAAAGGCTCAAGTATTTCTTCCAATGGGCTGGTGGCAGCTGATATTAGAGATCTTGCAAACAACTTTTCTAGCATCTCCTTTTCTCATGTTAGACGGTCAACAAACAAGGCAACTCATGTTATTGCTAAGACGGCATGTTCTTTGTCTGATTTTCAGTCTTGGTTTACTAATCCTCCGCTATTTATTTCTTATGTAATTGACAATGATTTGATTAATGTTAATTAATTATTTTCCCCACAAAAAAAAATCATATGAGAAGGCACCAAACTACAATAACAAATATCGTAAACATGTATACTTCCTAAGAACACTTATACTAGTAAGGTATATGGAATCCAAAATGTTAAAAATGAACATTTTAAACTCTAATACTCTAGGGTTAAGGTATATATAAAGGTAGGGGCGTAGCTAGGGGAGGGCCAACTCTAACCCTGGTCAAACCCAAATTTAAAAAATGTATATTTTTAGTGTAACAAATTTTCTATAAAAAAATTTCAAAAAAAAAAACTTTTTACCGGTCCGGTACGGTCCGGTGTCTTGGCTCCGCCCCTGCATAAAGGAATTAAGGTTAAGGTATTAAAATACATAAGGAATTAATATTGCCATCATTTACATCCCATATAGTCTTTGATCATCACTTTTTTTGATCATATAGTCTTCATCATCATTGATCACAATGGCGGATTTAGAATTTAATTTTAAGGTGTTCAATACTCTTTTACAAGTACAAATTTAAATAGTACGAGTAATAAATAACTATATTAAATTTACATGCACTTGTATATTTTTAAAAAATATGGGTGTTAATGTGAATATGTTAGAACAAGAGTGGCTCCGTCGGTGAATGATCATCACAACTTTCGTGAATCATTTGGGATCAATTTTTTATTCATCAATTGCGAACGATTTATGAACATTATCTATCATCGGCAGGGTGGCGGCAGAGGCACATTAACACTTAAGGGGGCCAACCCCCAACCCCCACATTTTTTGTAATATTACTACTCTGTATTATATACTATATATCCCCCATATAATAGGGTAAAATACACGGTACATCCGACTGTGTAGTGCGCACGGTACATCCGAGCTTTTCTTGGTAGGTGCGCTTCTTCAACCTGGCCTTCGCACCAGGCTTCTACGTTCCGGCTTCGCACAAAGCTTCGTATCAAACTTCTCCGATTTAGCTTGCTTCTTCGATCTGATTTCGCACCAAGCTAACTGTCACCGACGTTCACCCCTTTCTCCTTCAGCTCGCTGCTGGTCACCGCCTCTCACCACTCGCCCCTTCTCCTCCGGCACAAACGCAGCGGCCCCGGCTCCGGCGTAGTTATCTCTTCACCTCTGTCTTTCTTTCCACTCTTTTTCTCTTTTTCTCAGGCAGTTTTAGAGCCCGTTTGGCAGCATGAAAATCGGCTGTTCTAGCTGATTCTGCTGAAATTTATGAAATTCTGGCTGAAGTGGCTGCATTGGCTGATTCTGCTGATACAAGAAAAAAATATTTTTAAAATATATTTTATTAATAAAATAAAGAAAAAATTATATGTAAAAATAGCTAAAATGGTCATCTACAGTAACTTCAGCCAATACAGCCAGAAAAGTAACTCCAACCTTACTTTTTCGGCTTATTACACAATTCAGCGCGTGAAAGTAAAATTTACGTGTTTGGTAAAAAAGTTGGCTGATAAGTCTGATAAGCCGAAAATGAGGGTTGCCAAACGGTCTCTTATTGTTTGAGCTTGTGATTTTCGGAGACAAAGGGAGTCTACTTCGTTGCTAAGGAATCCTTACTGCTATTGATCTCAAATGAGTTTTATATTAAACTCAAATGAGTATACAGTCTAAAAGAAATGAACACGCACAAATTAATATTGAATGCATTGGAAATGAGTTTTATATTAAACTCAAATGAGTATAACGCCCAAAATGAATGAGCATGCAAAAATGAGCTTTTGAATTTTTTCATACTCATTGCGTAAGTCATGTATACACATTTGGTACTGTTTTATGCTCATTTTAAAATGTTTCACATTTCAAACGTATCATACTACATTATATTCACATATTGAAATTAATTGAAATTGATTATAAACATAATTTAAGAATTTTTTATAAACCAAAAAAAATAAAAAGAAATCGAATCAAAAGATATGAAGCAGAGATCACTGGTTCTCATTGTTAGACTCCTAATACTCAAAAGAACAGACTTGATCCTCATCAGAATCGCATAGATGCTCATTTAAGAGAAATCAAGATTTTCACTAAAATTACAAAATTGTCACTGGTTGTACGGTGACAGCCGTACATCCGGCTATATGATATACGCTTTCATATAATAGTGCATAATAACTAGATCAATTACAAGTGCTTTTTTTTTGGAAAGAACTAGATCAATTAAAAGTCAAAACCCTGCATTGCTGTGTGTAGAGCTTTCAGTTTTTTTGGGGACAAACTTTGTTGAATTATTATTTACTATGATTATACAGTGTACAAATTCAATAATTATATAAATAATAATGGTTAGTGTGTTCTTGAAGATTGTTCAATGAATATTAGAAATGAATATTGGTATATCTTTTTATACGCTATATTACTTTTATATTTTATATTTTGCTACCCGCGTCTCATACAAACGTCCTCGTTCACTATTTACCAGTCAACGTAAAATCTTCTTAATCTTTTAATTTATACCCCTTCCGGTCCTAAATAAACTTCACACTTTGACTTCACACAAATTAAGAAAATAAATTTGATTATACTGTAGAGTACACTGTTTTGACACTATTTGTCACTATTTTGCATTGTTTTACACTGTTGTGATGTAGATAATTCACCAAATAAGGAAGAGAGAAGAAGTGTGAAGTTTATTTTGGACCTACCCAAAAAGGAAAGTGTGAAGTTTATTTAGGACCGGAGGGAGTATATCAAACTTTTATCAAATTTGAGTTTTGTTTGTGACTTTATAAAATATTTAATGTAGTAAGCTAGTAATTTTTTTGGATGTAATTATAGACAGAGATCAATTAGTTTTATGGTGAGTCAAACATTTCAAACCATGTAGTACTGAAATCTGGCTCCACCCCTATCTATCAGTATGGTTTCTATACATCAGACATGAATGTTCTGCATGCATTAAATATATATACCTCAAACATTATATAAAAGGTTATATTAGTACTATGACAGTATATCTTTCATAAATATAATTTTATGGTGTGAAATACAAAACTTAAAATACTCAAAACATTTATGAGGATGCAATTGAAATTAAATTAAACCGAATGTAATATTATTTATTTAACAAATAAAATTTTAGAATGTTAACTGCATACTAACAAAGCTAAGATTATTTTAAATTATGTAATTACTCTGATAAATTTGAATTTGTAAGAAAACATATGGTCCGAGAATAATGTTTTATACGTATAAAGTTGGAGATATACCTAGTACATAAAATTTCCATATAAAATGCAGTTTTAAAATTTCTTTCGGTACTGAACCGTGCCCCATCCCTAGTTGCAGCCGTCGCCACAGCCAATTTAAGGTCGTAAATGCGTTTGTCCCTAGAGATCTAACAGATCAGAGTGACATTCGATCTGCGAGCATATAGAGATAGCGGGAGAGGAGCAGATAATGAATACCAACTTTGCGGTTGAGCTGTTTGGGGAAGATGAAGACGGAGACAACTATTCAAACGACGAGCAACAGCAGCGCCAGTCATCAGCCTCACAATCTTCTTCTTCATCGTCCTCCGCAGCCGCGGCCTCCTCATCCGCCTCTTCGGGTGGTTCTTCTTCACCGTCGTCTTCCAATAGAAGTAGCAGCGGTAGTGGGAGTGGAAGCGACAGCGGCAGAGAAGAAGACGATCATGGGGAAGTCAGGTCTTCTAATAATGAGATTGAGGATGAGGATAAGGATCTGTTTGGCTCAGATAATGAGGAGTATGTAAAAACAAATGCTACTAGTCCGTACCCAGTTCCTGTTTTGCCCCCAGTGCGTAATCTAAACAACCCATCAAGAGGAGGTATTGGGCGTGGACGTTGGCAGAATGGTAGAGGGAATGGCATTCTTGCTTTGCCCAATTATCCACCAAGACAGGGTTGCAATTATGGTTCCAAGTTCCCCAATGTTCCTCGCGATGAGCGTTTTGTTTCTGAGCTTAAGTTTGCAAAGAGTGAAGAAACATTGGCAAGAAAGTCCACTGCAATCCAACAGCCTTGCGAGCTTGCTTGCTATAGTCGAGTGGAAGGGGGAGACGTCTACTTTGACGATAGTAGCTTGAGGCTATTTAAACGTCTGATTACTGAAGATATCGGGGCTGACCTGAATGAAGGTTTTGATACTTTCATTGAGAAGAGAGATCTGGGATCTCAGGGTTTTGGTGACCTTCTTGCCTGCATTAGGCACAAGAAGGAGGAAATTTCACTTGAAAGGATGCACTTTGTGACATTCCGGAACAACTTGAATAAGATAATGGCTACTGCCTATATCAGGAATGAGCCTTGGGAAATGGGAGTTCACAAAAGGAAAGGTGTTGTTTACCTGGATGTGCACAAATTACCGGAAAGGACAAAAAGTGATCTAGATAGAAGAAGGTGTTACTGGGGCTATTGTTTTGAAAGTCTGGCCACTGAAGGTCGTGGTGGAGAACGGATTCATGACATCGATGCAAATGTCGAATTCTGTTCTGTACTTAAAACCAAAATAGGAGCGCACCGTGTTTTGCTGGGGGCTGAAATCGATTGCTGTGATTCAAGGGATAATGATGAAAAAAGATTCTATATTGAACTGAAAACAAGCCGGGAGTTGTTGGACCATCGTACTGAGGAAAGATTTGAGAGGGAGAAACTGCTCAAATTCTGGATCCAGTCGTTCATTGCTGGTGTGGAATACATTGTTGTTGGATTTAGGGATGATAATGGTTTTCTTGTCCGGACTGAAAGAATGAGAACCAATGAGATCACACAAAGGGTAAAACTCAAAGGTTATTGGCAGGGCGGAGTATGCCTTGCTTTCACAGATGAGGTCTTATGCTGGCTTTATGGGACAGTGAAGGAAAATGAAGATTACATCTTGCAGTTTACTGCACACTCGACTAGGTTGGAGCTCCTACGGGCTCAGTCATGCCCGGATGCAATTACTCAGCATGTTCACGAACTCTATGGTTTATGAATGGTATGTGCATTAGAGACAGACTATAAGCAGCTCGGTTCCTTTTAAATGGGTTCAGACCAGTTTTAACCCTTTTTAGCTATAATTATTCGTCAAGTATAATGTGCCAAGCAAGGTTGTCCATGGTTTTTAGAAGGGTATATTCTAAAAATACGGGAATGTTGTGCCGACATGGCCATTTTACGGGTTTTTTGACAGCTTTCTGCTTTTTAAGTGCCCTATGTGCTTTTGACGGCTTTGATTCTCTCATCTCTGCTCTATGAATTGCCAATCATCTTCCGCTCAATCATCTTGTTCACTCCCCGTTGCTTTTCTTTCTTCTTTCGTCGCCATCCTCACTCCTCGTTGCTTTTCTTTCTTCTTCCGATGTCATCCTCTTTCTTTTTTCCTGCTAGTTCGTTTTACCTTTTGTGTTTTGTAGCGTATGCTTGAGCCTGTCGTAGCAAATTTTGGAGTTGTTATTGGCCTTTTGGCCAGTGACTGTCACCTGTGGTTAAGGCCTTCTGTGCACTTTTTATCTCATTTAGATGCATTATCACAAATAAAAATGAAGAGTATACAATGATGTGAGCTCACAGGTTTCACAAATGTCCGCTTTAATGGAACTTTTATGCACTTTGAATATTTACATGTGCATATTGACTAGTTATTATCATTAAATATTTTTATTTTAACATCTTGTTAAATATATATATATATATATATATATATATATATATATATATATATAGATTTTGGTTCAAATAAGAACGAGTCTTAACGTGAGAACGTGAGAACACATCTGAGTCATCCATCTCTCTACATCCGTATACCATTTTAATTATTTATTAGTGGATATTTAAGTAATCATGCATAGGTAAGTTAATTTCGTAAGTGTTTGACCGGCCAGTATTGTGTAATCAAAACAAAACATGGGGGGCCTTTTCCTTCACTCATTGCCCAAATGAGCCAAAAAGAGCATCCCTACCCATCCCCTCCTCACTAACTCGAGCTCAAGCTGGGGGACCTTTTCCTTCACTCATTGCCCAAATGAGCCAAAAAGAGCATCCTTACCCATCCCCTCCTCATTTACTCGACCAAGACCAGGTAAAAGAAGAAAAGAAGCTCTACAACTCCATCCTTCCATAGTCAAATTCGAGCTCAAGTTGAAGGAAGCCAAAAGAAGAAATTTAAAGAAGGAGAAGGGAGGAAAAGTGTGGTGGTTAAGGTAATGACCTTATATTAACTTTTCCTCTACTCTTTAACTACCATATGAATTATACTCCCTCTGGTCCTTAATGAAGTTTACACGTTGACTTCACACATATTAAGGAAATAAATTTGACTTTATTGTAGTGTACATTGTTTCACACTGTTTGGCACTGTTTGACACTGTTTGGCACTGTTTGCTGTAGTTTAAGGAAAGTGTCAAGTTAATTAAGGACCGGAGGGAGTATATCATATGAAGGACCCCTAGGATAACTCTACATGTTTAGAAGTGTAGAATGAGGGGTTGGAAGGTAGTTCTATGTCCAAGAACGGACTTATAAACTTAAGTGATCGGTTCGCCGGAAAATAACCTTTTAGAGGTTATTTGTACTAATATGGGTTTAGTGATGATAAAAACTTGTTAGGAACTTGTATAAGGTGTTCCTAGTATTTCCACGAAGTTGGAATAATTCGTCGGAGTTTTGCCAGAGTTCAACAAAGTTCGTCGGGGTTTCGCCGGAGTTCAACCAAGAAGGGTAGAACGCATTAAAGCTTCATTTAAGGTGAGAAGACGGCTTTATGCTTTATAACTTTTGCGTGATGCATGAGATTACCTAAATTAATCAAGAATATGTTTTATGGAATGATTAAACATAATCAAGTATTTGTTTATGCCATGATTATATATAAAACATAGTTGAAAAGCATGATACATTTGTTTGATGATTAAAAATGTGATAAATTATTGTGTATGATGTCCAGAGATCCAAAAAGGTATTTTTGGATTAAGGACGTCAGGAAGTACATGTGTATAAAATTTCACGTTGATCGAATTTCATTTGGGCGGTCAAACGGGCGTTGACCGCCAAGTCAAAGGGTATACCCGATCGGGTATGGGTAAATACCTGACTGGGTATTAGTTAAAAACAGCCACAGGGGCTACTGCCTCACCATATCCGACCGGGTATGGGTAAATACCCGATCGAGTATTGGGTAAAGCACCCAATGAACAGTTTTGAGCAAGTTTACGTGGGCCGTTCGGGTGGGAACCGTCCACGTTGGTTACTAAGGATTATTATATGACTATAAGGCTAGGTATTGTCCATAGTTGAAGGCATAAAAGGTTAGCCATATCCAGGTTAGGATTTGGTAGAAATAAGGTTGGGGTTGAGTACCCATGGGCGGTAAATGATCCAGAATACTCCAGGTTGGGGCTGAGTACCCTTGGGCGGTAAATGATCCAGAATACTCCAGGTTGGGGTTGAGTATCCTTGGGCGGTAAATGATCCAGAATACTCCATGTTGGAGTTGAGTACCCTTGGGCGGTAAATGATCCAGAATACTCCAGTTTGGAGTTGAGTACCCTTGGGCGGTAAATGATCCAGAATACTACAGGTTGGGGTTAAGTACCCTTGTGCGGTAAATGATCCAGAATACTCCAGGTTGGGGTTGAGTACCCTTGGGCGGTAAATGATCCAGAATATTCCAGGTTGGGGTTGAGTACCCTTAGACGGTAAATGATCCTAAATACTCCAGGTTGGGTTGAGTACCTTGGACGGTAAATGATCCTAAAACACTCGGTAGTATAGTACGAATGTAGAATATAGCTAGTGAGCTAGACATTCGGGGCAAAGATGAGAAAAGTCGGGTAATTAAGGACTTTATCTCTAAAATACTCTTTAAATGTAAATGACCTACGGGTTAAGTATTTTACAAGTATATATACGGTATGTATCATCGGGTGGATGATTTACAACTATATGTCTATATATATATGTTATCACCCTATGTTTGGGTCTCATGTCTAAAACATTAGTTATTCCTCATATAGCATGTTTGTCACTAGTACTTGAATCTGTGAAGTACTGACCCCTTTGGAGGTCTCACTATTTTTCAGGTTGAGGCTAGAGTCCTACTATTTGCACCTAGGGTGGTCATCAAATAAGGAAGACTTGGTTCGTGCTTCCATTCTTATTTTCAAACATGGAATTTGCTCATGGATATTTCAAACAATGTTTTCTATTAAAGCATTTGGGGGTCTGCGTGCTCGTGTTTGCCACATGTGGCTAAATATCAAACATATTATTTTCTGCATTTGTTTGATTACGATATTGATGTTGATTGTATGTGTTTACTAATCGGTTTGGCAATTGAATCTATCGGACGCCTTGTATAATTCAATAGGGATGAACTATTGTTGTTTTTATTGGGTTGTACGTAGTGATGGATTCGGTTCGGGCCACCCGGCCCGTGACCCGGCCCGCCCCGGTACTGTGCGGGCCCGGGACCGGCCCGGTCGGGCGGTCCGGGACCGGGTATGGGCCCGAACCGGTGGGAAGGGGCGGGGCGGGCTCAGTTCAGCATTTTTGTGACCCGGCCCGGCCGGGTCGGGCCTGGACCCGGGTCCGGTTCGATCAATTTTAAAAAAAAAAAATTGGTTTGGGCTCCTACTAGTCGTTGGGGGTGGGGCTGGGGACAACCCAAACGGCTATATAGCCGTTGGGTGGGGTAAAGGGGGGGTCCGAGGGGGTTGGGTGGTGGGGGGTGGTGGTGGGGGGTGGGGGGTAAAAAAAACCTATAAATACTCCTAATCTTAAACATTTTTTCATATCTCTTCTCCAATTCTTCCTATTCTTATCTCTCTACTCTCTAATTCTCTTATTCTCCAATATATTATATATCTACTCTCATATTCTCTTCTCCAAGAAGTTAAGATGGAAAATCAAAATGCCATTATACGGTATAATTTTGATAAGCAGGGTTCGAAGACCGGGATGTGGTACGCAATTTGCAAATAGTGCGAAAAAAAATGTATAATGGGGGCTTCAGGCGGATTCGGGATGGCAATCAAGCATATGAAGTCATGTGACAAAGCCAAAGGATCGGGAGGTGCAGGAAGTTCTGATTGATTACAATTTTCAAAATGTTTATCTCTTAAAGTTTGTTTTAATTTTCAAATGTAGTTCCTATTTCATTTCAAATAAATGTAATTGAAGTTTGTTTTTATTACTCGTATAAAACTATAAACTATAAAATATAAATTATAAAAAAAAAAAATTAACCGGCCCGGCCCGAACCGGACCCGACCCGTGACCCGGGCGGGTGGCCCGGCCCGAACCGGACCCTTACAACCCGCGGGCCGGTCCCGGGCCCACTTTTCTTGAACCGGCGGCCCGACCGGGCCTAGGCCCGGCCCGGGCCCGACCCGGCCCGAATCCATCACTAGTTGTACGGCGGTTGCCTACGTGGCGTGACACATACTCTCATCCAACTCAAGAAGATGCATATCAATTCTGATTCCTCTAGTCCAAGTTTGTTTGGGTCTTCTCCTCCCTCTCTTCTCTGACTCTTCTCCCCACCCCTCAAGCCATCTAACAGGTGCATCGCCCGGTCTTCTACACACATGCCCAAACCACCGCAAACGAGACTCCTGCATCTTATCTTCTATAGGTGTTACTCCCACCTTTTATCTCATTACCTCATTCCTCAAGTGGTCTTTTCTGGTATGTCCACACATCCAACGCAACATACGCATCTCTGTCACACTCATCTTTTGAATGTGGCATTGCTTCACCGCCCAACACTCTACGTCACACATTAATGCCGACCTAATTGTTGTATGATAAAATTTCTCTTTCAGTCTAGTCGGCATATCTCGATCGCATAGAAATCCTGAAGCACTCTTCCGTTTCATCCACCCAGCTCTGATTCTATGGCATACATCTCCATCTAATTCACCATCCTTCTGAATTATGGATCCCAAGTAACAGAACATATCACACTACATTGAGAAAATGCTTGAAAGATTCAAGAAGTATGATATCAAACCAATGAGAACACCTTTTGATTTCAGTGTTCACCTCAGTAAAAACAAAGGAGAAAGTGTACAAAGGAGAAAGTATTTCACCAGATGACTAACACGTTAATGTTTTGATCTAATGTGATTTACATTTTGACCTCAAGTTACATTTACATTAAAACCATTTATATTTCCACTTCCTCAATGTGTTATGGACAACTAGAGACAGTCAACCCTCTCTTTTAAATGAAGAAGCTTATATTATGTCATCGAAACTCGCAGAAATGACAAACAATCTCATTTTGATCATCTGCCCTAGGATTAGACATAGAATTATAGGTGCTATAAGCACAACAGTTCACTAACCACTCAATGAGCCACTCAAAGCCTTATTGTGACTAAGAGAAAGAGACTGACGCATAAAACATCCACCAGAGAGTGCTCCACACCACAGTCATAATAATAAACATCCTAATAAGGCCAAAACCAATAGGAAAATAACTAAAGATAGAAGTTTGAAAGTAAAAGTGAAAACAAAATTAAAAAATTGAAAACTTGAGTTATTCAACTTCATCTTTCTAGGTGAGTCCGTCACCCATAGCTCGTCTCAATCCCATTCTTTTCCAGAAACAGGTTACAGTTCTATCATCATATTCCTTTCTGTTAGCTTCACCTCCTCCACCGTGTAAAGCTTGTGTGCTGTCACAATGATAAGTCCGTACTTACACATGCATTTGATGCGTGTTGGGATCGACTTGTGATGGTTTTCCTAGCTTTAAGGTATTACAAGTCTCAATCTTAGCTCAAGTTATGTTTACCGGGCGTTGGTTCGAGTTTTGTGTTGTTTGGAATCAAAATCAGGAATTTAGAGTTCGACACCATAATTAAGCAATTATTCCCGTTCCTTAGCAAACTTATAGTCCTGATTAGCAAACTGCTGCTGCCGCCATCACATCCCACGTGTTAACAAGCTGAGGTGAGACTATCTCCCTTCCAAACTCATAATTTCGATGCATTCCGAACTATTCTCTCTGGCTCGTATCATCCATATTAGGGGTCTGAGGTAACCCTTTTCAAACTGTAAGCAAGGTCACCGGATCGGGTCATTCCTTATTTATAGCTAAAAGGGCGATTCGCTTCCAAATCAAGTTAATGACTGAGGCGAGATTTTTCAAAACCATAGTTCTGATTCCCCGAACGACAATCTGTACCTTATCCGAACGTCGCTCGGTCCATCCATATCTTATAGTCTTGACACCATCTCCAAGCCGTTTTGATCCCTTTGCCCGTACGTAATTACAGGGTCGAATTTAGCTAAGTTGATGACTCAGCTCCCTCCAAACTGTTAACTCGTTCCTCATTCGGTCATTCGGGATGATTTTGCATGTTAAAAAGCTGAGGTGAGAATCACTGACATCAAACTCTAGGCCATTTTGATCCCTTTAACAATGTGTAATTACAGGGTTAAACTCTATTAGCTGAGATCATGGCTCCCTCCAAACTACTAACATGTTCCTCATTCGGTTCCACATTATGTGATGGCGGCAGCAGCAGTTTGCTCAGCAGAGGATTGAGCAACGATTAATTCCCGTTCCTTATCCAGACGGGCTTCCCGCATTTGCAAAGTGTACAAACCCATCTACAAAGCGCCGTTCGAGAGTTAGTAACTGATCACAGAGAATAAAATGAGAACGAACCACAAAAGATAATATACCTTCAGTGCGGTCAAGGTCAGGCACTCTTCGGATTGCTCGACCGGTAACTGAGGAAGAGAGAAATTGTTAAACCAGGAAGATGTTGACAAGATCTGGCTCTCGGAAGAACCAGCTCTCTCTAGCACCTCATGAACAGGATCCGATAAAGAGATCCGTTCGACCTGACCAGTGATATGGTCGGTATGATTCCCGCCTACGTTCGAGGTTGCCCCCTGAACGGAATCAAAGTGTTGGGAAAACTGGTGCAGCTGATCAGAACCAAATCGGTCATCGATCATCATGGCATCATAATGATCCTGACCAGAAAATTGCTGAATAGGCTCTGGTTGCTGAACGGCCGGTGCAGGTTCGGATTGGGAGCTGAAAAATGACAAAGGAAAATGTTAGTGCCGAGCGGCCTTAGCATGTGAGAAACTAGTAAAAAGAAGGGAACGTTTCTCGCACGGGAAGGACCGCCCGGACCATGGCACTTCATTCTCAAAACAAGTAAACCCAAGAGAACGGGCAGTACCTATCCCGGCTTTAACAAGCCGATCGGGAGTCAGGTAGGTCATGATATCACAACACTTGTCCTTCTCCACAGCGAGTACATCCTTGTAGATTTCCTCAGTGAGAACTGGGTCGGGAGTCTTGCGAGGGAAGGCGTTCCATTTACGAGGGATCAACCCGTCTGGGATAGACACGAAGAAGAACCTATCTTTCCATCCCTTGATTGAGGTTGGATTGCCCTTGAATAGAATATGGCACGTTCAGGAACTAGCGGCTAGATACCCATGAGTTTGTTGGGGGGCTACTTTGAAAAATTGATGAAATAAATCTAAGGTCGGCGAGGCACCGACATCTTTACAACGACAGATAAAGCCCGCCATTGCCCGATAGGAGTTCGGCATGACTTGGGCAGGTACAATTTCATAAAAATTAAAAAATGAAACAAAAAAGGAGTGTAACGGAAATCTAAGCCCAGCCCTCACTGAATTGAAATGGACCACGACCATCCCAGGGGCGTGACGCAGGGGATGAAGCCTAGCTTGCAATCGAAAGTCCACTGGGTCTGGGATTAGGGCCGGAATTTTGGCCCTATTATTGGCAGTCAATTTTTGCCATCTTGCCCTAATTAAACCTACGTCGAGTGAATGACGGGGGACATCTTTTGGCCGTCCAGCCGCCATTAAATCCATTTCATCCTCGGATTTCGTGCCATCAGAGCTTTCACCGGAGGAAGATGAACTGCTAGGAAGGTCCTCCGCCTCCGCCCTAGTATTTGTCGCCGTTTGAGTGGAACCACCGACGAATGGGACTGCGATGACGTCCACAATAGCAGCGTCACGGTCATCTCCATTGGAGGCCATCTCCGAATCAGGGGAATGCCGTTGAGAACTCATCTCGCCCGAGCCAGAAATGAGGAGAGAAAATAGAGGGAGGGAAATTACCTGAGCGACGAAAGCTGGAAGAAATTTCAGAGAGAGCAACGATGCGAAGGAAATTGCAGAATCGAAACCCGGATTTGAAAAGTTAAAGGCTAATTTATAGCCTTTAAACCACCATATCGAGGACCAATCAAGAAGCGACACGTCATCAGAAGCATTTAAGCTAAACGCGTGTCCAATGAAAAGATTAAACGACGGTTATCATGATGAATACGAGGAAATAAAACGACAGCCGTCAAATCACAGTATG